GATAATCGTCACCTATGTTGGCCGTGAGCGGGAACCAAACTCGGGTCGCCAGGTTCGTAGCCCAGCGTAGCGCTAACTGCCACACTCCCGCTCCCCACATCAAGGTCACAACACATACTCACCAGTGCCTTACAAGTAGTAACGACCAAATACGCACCCACTCCACACTTACCTCTCTCCTCGGATAAGAGACTACCTCAGAATCAGAATCTCTTTATCCCGGGAGAAATCCGACGATTTACGAAGCTCTTTCCCCACCCCCCACCCACATATATCCAATAGGGACGGGTCAGAAAGTTACAATAATATTATCCACCGTTGTGACCATAAAAGGCCGTTTTGCCGATCCTTCCGGATATGGGGCCGTTCCCACTATCCGCTACAGTAGCGCGAGTCACACCGGTGGTTCGCAACCGTTGCGATGTTGACTCTGCTCTCCGTGGGGTTCGGAGAGTTGTTGACACCCCCGAAATCAGTGGTTCTTCACATTCACTGCAGCCTTGCACCCCATTGATTCTCAATGTTAATAAATAAATCAGGTCTGATTAAACTAAGCAGTTGTACTTACGTGGCCGTGGTTAATTTGTTTCGATGATTTACCGTAAAAACATCTGTCCATGTCTGGCACCCCCTAGAAAGGGCATCTTGCACCCCCAGGGGATGCTTGCACCCCCAGGTTAAGAAGAACCACTGCCGTAAATACTTCTAACATCCCTTTGATGCGACACCCTTTCCACCGCAGAATTCCCACTGGGTGCTCAAACAAGTGACCTTACGTCGTGACCTCTGCACTCTGGTAGATGGCACTCCTCACCATGGCGAACCCCATGTGGCCCTCCGAGCTAATATTCTCGTCACCCACAGGTCTAGCTCTTCTCGGGGGTTCAGGGTACAACACTGCCAGACCACCACCCCTTATCAGCCACTGCTTATCATGCCGAGCAGGACTGTTAACGGCACGAGTCAGACCGTAGTGACGGCACGGTTGGCTACGTACGGTGCGAAAGAAGTACAGCATACGTCAGACTATTGACATGTGGGTGTTGTTGGGTTGGGGGGGGGCTCAGCTGCAACGCATCGCACCGCTCCCTTTCCCCCACAGGATGGTGCCAGAGGCAGCCTCCCTTGCCCTCGCCCCACACTGCTGGAATGTCCTTGCTTGACCTCGCTCGTCTTCTCTCCCAGACCAGACCACCACCAACCACCACCACTGAAACCCACCCAGTGGTGGGGGGGGGGGGATACTCTTAATTTACAACCCTGCTTTGCTGTATAATACAATATTTTCAAAATCATGACCAGCCAGCAGCCTGTGGTGGTGCAATGCAGCTACTTACAGCATTCAGCGTGGCTGTTCTCCGTGGTCACGCCCCTCTCTCTCCACTGCTAGATGGATAATGGGCAGAGATGCTCGTGGCGGGTTGGGCTTCTGCTGTGGTCTCTCGCCGCATATCCGTACGGTGGAAATTAGGGGGTCCTCGTGCAGTGTATATGAAACTTGGGCTGCATTTGGCACGGTCCGTTGCTTAATCTCCTGATGAGATTAAGCCACGCACCTGTTCTGTATAGAACGACGCGCGTGTTTTCTCTGCACGCGTCCTGAATTAATATCACCGCACGCGGTTCCTTCACTGATTATTTAATTCACAACGCATGCTGCGCCTCTGATGAATTGGTGACCTCAATGAGGCTCATCAATTCCTTCATTACCTGGCAAACCCAAAGCAGCTCTTCCTGTGCCAGTTCACCATCACCCTAATTTTTACATCTAGATTGAAATTGTATTTCTGTAGAACTGTTTTTGTGTGTTTAGTTTGTTGTTCCCCCCCCCCGCACCTCCGATTAGCGCGGTTGCCTACGTACGGTGTGTGAAAGAAGCTTAACACACAGTACATCCAGTACATTCAAACACGTGGTCCACCCCATACACCCTGTCACGGGATTGAACCCCCCCCCACCCCCACGATAGTATGGCACCTCGATGCCAACAGGAAGGAAGCTTCGCAACATTTGTGTGATCCATCAACCCTTATTATTATTATATTCTTGGGTCTTTCGGTAAAGTCACGTAGATAGGTTCAAAGAAAATAACAAAAAAACAACGATGTTTCGATCGCAACACAAGCGTTCGTCTTCTTGATGACGAACGCTCGAAAGGCCCAAAGAATATGAATTCCTGCAGTCACGAAAGCTTTAAGTCAAGTCAAGATCTATCAACCGTTGTCTGCACAGTGCTGGATAACAGGCATGCGGTGCCACCATAGTGGAATAAAGTTGTATGTGTCAATGCGGGTCGGTGGCGCGGTGGTTAGCGCTCCACTACCGACAATAAAAACCCGTGTTTGATTGCCAGCCACGGTTACCATCAGTGGCTCGTAATATCTAAACCGATCCGAGCGACCGCCACAATTTAGCAACCCACACTGAACAGTGTGGTGAAGTATGGTCAAACAATCTCCATGATCGAAATGGCCTGCGGGAATCTGTCATACAGCAATGGATTGACAACAAAGGACTCCATGAAAAGATATACCTTCCTGTAAAAATATATCCCTCTCAAGACGATACATATTTACACACGCTTTATATATGCATTCAGAAGGCAGTGACGAAAATATTAGTAAAAATAACTTCTCTGTATGAACAAAACACGTATACAGTAAAACCTTGGATTGCGAGTTGTTTTGCAAGACGAGCAAAAAATGTAAATGATTATTAATTTGATAAACGAGTGAGGTCTTGCAATACGAGCAGCACGTATACGCTTTGTCTGCCGAGCGTCACGTGATCACGACTGACATACGACTGCTTTGGATTACAAACACGTTTCCGGAACGAATTATGCTCGCAATTTCAAGGTTTTGCTGTATTTATTTTGTTGTTGTTTTAACCACCCAAGTGTTTTTGCTGACGTGAAATTTCTCCAGCGTGGCGCTAACACGTCAACGTGTCCGTGCCGCCGTCTCTTTCCAAGAGTCTCCTCCTGCGACACCACCCCCCCCCCGCCCCCACCACAAAGTCCGTTCGCCAAACTCGTCGGTGCCCCCGTCACCCCTCAACGATGTCCCAACGCTTCAGCGACGGTGGCCACGGCGGGCCGTCCCGGGCGCCACGGTCACCCCAGGGCCCCTCCCGGGACACGCGCGTCGTCTCCGGCCGCGTGAGCGCGTCGCGTTGCGTTTAACCGGGCGGCAGCGAATGCACCGAAACGCGCTCTTGTTTCCTGTAAGTAAAACAAAACTAAAATAGAAAGTGTATTCTTTGATTTTATTTAAAACACCGAAAACGATGCAGAACTTGTCGCGTGGTGTGGTCTCTGTTGTTGCCCATTAGTTTCAAAGCTGTGTGAACCCCGCGCTGATCGGAGGGGTGCGGGGCGGCAAATGTCAACAAACTAAACACAACACACATTTCCGACGTCTTCATCTCTCTGCGGAGGATATTTGGGTTGCGCCGAGTGATGCCTGGGATTTTTGCCCTCCGTGCTGGGAGAAGAACCGAGACGGCGAACTTTACAAAGCATAGTGACGAAAACACGGTGATCTCGAAACGGCGACTCAGGAACATACATACCTGGACGCTGTAAATACCCGGAACGCATGACACTACGTACACGGATGGAACGACGCATGTCAGAGGCAGGTTAGCCAGTGGGAGGGGGGGGGGGGGGGGGGGCCTTGAGAGGTTCCTAACGCCCCCCCCACAGCCACAACCCAACCACGTACACTCCCCCCCCCTCCCCCCCCCCCCCCCCCCCCCCCCCCCACTTTCGAATAACGACTTGGCGCATCCTCCTGTTGAGTATTTCGCTTGCACCTCACTCACCCGGTCCCCAACAGTGGTGCTCCCACAAAGACCGAGGCGGCGGACAGGGAGTGCACAGTGAGCAAGTCGCATGACGCACCTCTAGCGGGGTGCCGACACATCGCGGAAGGAGGCTTCCAAGCAGATCAAGCTACTACGGGGGACCTGTGGCATATGTTTCTAAAGGGGGCATAAATAAATAAAAACGTAACTATTTAAACGCATACATTTTCACTTGCATAGTAATTGTATTTTTTCATTTGCTATACAGCCAGATAATACGACAAATCGCTAACCTTAAAACGCCAGTCGTTCATAATAGTTGAAGGCGGTATAGTACTACAGTAATGGAGCAAGTGCAGAATCACTGAACCGGAATTGATAGCTTGAAAGCGTTTAGTGCGGGGCCCTTGAAAGTGCGGGGCCCGTAGCTACTACATATGTAGCTACTTTTGCTACGAGGATAATCCGGCACTGCTTCCAAGTTGTCCGGTACAAAAGCCGGACAAACACAATGTGTCGCCTGCGATTCCAATTGTTTACCAACTTACGGCAAGAAGCGCCGCCCGGTTTCTTTCGCGTTGTGCTCGCAGCCGTGGCCGCTGCACACGCGAAAAAAAATGTTTGGTTGGACTGTGCCTGCATAAATGTGTCTCTCTCAGCAAATATAATTCGAAAGATGAGTGGATACTGTCAATCAGAAACGACTTGGGTGTGCGACTGTCACAGGGCAGCAGCAGCCACTGGCTGCATTTGCCACATCGCACACGCAGCCCTGACGCCTGCAACACCAAATGCGAGCTCACGAGTAGAAAGATAATCGCAACACAAACATCCACGAAGGCACGTGAATAATAAACACACGGACCTGTGCAACGTTAAGGACTTGCGTATAACAAAGACAAAATACTCCTTACGTATAGCCTTAACAGACTGTTGGGGAAAGTGCAGTTAGCGAGCACCTCTGAAGGCCGGCACGGCACACAAGGGGGTGGGTGGCCGGCACCACACCTGGCCGCCTTTGTCTCCCCAGTGGCGATGTTTTTACACCACACCGGGTACTCATTTAAGGCTGAGTCGACCTAGGGGAGGCCCAGGACTGGTTAAATAATCGTCACTGGTGTTGGGCGTGAGCGGGAATTGAACCCGGAACGCCGAGTTCGTAGTGCAGCGCGCAAACCGCTACACTACCGCTCCCCCCACTTGTGTATAGACACTACATGTACACACGCATGGACACAGATGTGTACACACACACAGAGTCATGATAATCGTCTTGAAGTATATTAGCACAAATACATTCGTACAACGAAGAACAACTGTCGGGACAAAACGCATTTTAATTTTACTCGCTGCGAAGTAGCTGTCATACGGTGTACAACAAACTCAAAACAAATTCCTTCTTGAGCTTCCCTCGACCTCATAAATATCCTTGGCATCTTTGTGAGGATCCGCACTCTGGAGTCGACGGCCGGGGTCCGAGATGAAAATCCTGGATCACCCATCGAGGCATCTTCATTTGCTACGCCAAGCACACGGCGTTTTACATCCACACGGAGGTGCAAGTTACTTAGTGTCGGCTGTCTTCCTCCGCCGGTCTCTCTTCAGTGTTTGGCTATGCAGCGCACCATACACACAGACACGGATTTCATGTGAATACTGCAGGATGTTTGGAGCGTTTGAAACAAACCCATCATACTGAGTTTACATTCAGAAGAATTATACAGTAACGCAAATTAAAGCTAATATAACGGTGCAGCCATGCAATTGCTTGCTCATGCTACTGTTGGCCCCTATCGTTTGAATATGGACATTCTACCGCTGGCTAAGGCTCTAAATACAAGGTGAGCAATGCCTATTCTTTTTGCTTGAGCAGGAAACCAATGGGATTTTGTTGTTGTAGTAATCGCATTGCACAGGTTGAACCCACGTTTTGCAAGCACGCAACAGCGGCTCACTAAGCGGTTGGCCACGGTCACGTCACTGTCAATAGTCATGCCCATTGGAGTCGGACGATTTATCGTGGAAAAGAAAAGTCTGTGGAGTGTTCTACAAGCGGGGCATTTCTCACGATGTATTCGAAGTGTACCAAACGAAATAATGTCCACGAGGATTGATTCTCCAAGAAAGGCGATTAACTGTTTCCAAAAAGAATACCTACCCTCACGTCGACTGTGTCCCACTCTTCCTGGGCTGGATGTTCAGGGCAGCGATCCGATTCTCAATGTCGGACACCTGCAGTCAGAGGCGGGCCAGCCGATTATTGGGGAGGGTACATGCAAAGCAAGGAACGGAGCCCTCTTAGCGCTAACATTGTGTCCGTGCCAGGCTAGCTGCATGCACGATCCGTCCATGCATTCGCACGCACAGCATCACAAAATGTTGGGTGCAGAAGGCCGAGATGCGTAGCATTTGCATGTGGTGTACACAAATCGTGAACTCGTCAATTGTTATGAAAAACTAATCTTTAAATTTTACCAGGAGCTCTTTTTCAGAAGCGACCTGGCCATGAATGATAGCTTAACGAAGGCTTATCGTGTGGAAATTGATAGAAGCCAAATGCTCTAAGCGCATATTTATAAATGTGGAGGAAAAACCGGAGGACCCAGGGGAATTCCACGCCACCACGGGGAGAACATGCACACTCCAAATATACAGGCGTCAGTGTCGGGATGGAACCTACGACTTCTTGCATACCAGGCGAGGGAGTGAACATCTCGCCACCGCACACGATTCAATGTTGAGTGTCAGAGTCCATTTAAAATAAATGAATGCATTTCCTGCCAATACTATTACTCCTCAGAGAATTTCCCGTGGATCTGGGCCTAATTTATCACGGGAATATTCTATGGGGCACTGGTAAACTGAAGAAGGCACGTGTTCGGAGCTACAGCCAGAGTGAACAGTATACTGGATGTGGTGTGCTGGGTGCAGAAATAATTTCCAGATTGGCATGGCTGAAATTGAGCCCTGCCACGTTTCCATTACATTGCCATGTGGCATTGATAGTGATGTCACCTGTTGTATATGCGTTTGACTCCCATGAAGATAAAGATTCCCCGTATAGCCTGAGCAGACTGTTGGGGCAAGTGCTGTTAGTAAGGACCTATGATTGCCAGCACGACACACGATGGGGTGGGTGTCCAGCACCACTGGGGAAGACACCTTTGTCTTCCTCAGTGGCGATGCCTAAATATTGGACCAGTTACACATTTAAAGGCGAGTCAAGCTAAGGGGGGCCCAGGACCAGTCAAATATTCGCCACTGTTATTGGCTGAGAAAAACAATCTAAATTGGGTCGCAGAGCACGTAGCACAAGTGTGCTATAGCCAGTACCCGACCGCATAACCGCACAGACAACGCGCAGCACTGAGGACCTGGCTCTCGGCATCCTCCAGGTGGGCCTTGGTGCTGGCCATTTGGTTCTCGAGCTCGGAGAGGTCGGTGTCCGTGCTGTAGGGGCTGCTCGTCTCTCTGTTCCTTTGGCGCCACACATGCCGGCTCGCCCTGCCATTCCCTGGGGTCACCTGTGTACAACCACGAGATGCTAAGTGTTACGTTGTTAATGATGCCAGGCTTGGTGGTGCACACCTGTGTTTTGTTGGCAAGGGTTTGGTGGATCACGATTCTGCTATCGGTGTTGTGTCACGACATTGAGAGCATCCATTCACACCGCTCGCAGAGTAGTGCATCCCTTTGTTAGAAAACGGTCCAAGGAAGTGGATATCGGAGCTACCCCCAAAGTCACTTCAAGTGACATCTAGACCACTCGCTGGTTCAGCAGTTCCACTGCTGGATTATTTTTTTCTGCCTGAGGACGACCGCTTGTGTTGCGATCGAAACGTCTTGATATGTTATTTTTGTTTTAATTTATTTTATTTTTCTAACTACTTGACTTTACCGAAATAACCAAAGAGTATGGATTCCTGCAGTCACGATAGCTTGAAATCAAGATTCACACAGTAGGGGGCAAGCACTTTCCCACCCACACTGCCACTTCGTGGTAGTGAGTTAAAATTCTTAATTTTCATAAGTGCAATTTATGTGCGGAGCCAAATGTAACTTGTGATGGGTTTTTACTTGTAGAGAATTCGTGACGAGTCTGAGAACACCAACTATGTACGCTTGAGAACACGGTTTAATCGCCAGCCGTGCCAGCTGAGCTCCCTGACCTTTGAGCCACTTTTGGTGCATTACGTAGATTCGTGAAACACCCAGTGCGTTTGGTTGTAAGGTGGCAGTACAGCAAGCGAGCAAATTAACTGTTCATGAGGATCTTTGCAGCTCATCCCCTTGTCTGTGTGTAGGCACTCAGCTCTCCTACCACACCGGACACTCGTTAACAATAAATGATGCACTATATCAAAGTACGACTTCTAATAAAAAGGCTTAAAGATTCGGTGAGGCTTTCTTGGAAAAATGGACTTCACACGTATAAGCAACGTTCCCTCAACCCACATCGCTATGGCCACTCAGCACCCCCCACACCACGTCTTTGTGTTAACGTTTCCACCTTGTCAACACGGCTTGAACCCTTGTCAACACGGGCCACGAGGCGCCTGTCATCTCAGTCCGTACGGCTGGTGGTCTGGGATGTGTAACTGAATGGGGAGTGACGTACAACCCTCTGTGACGAGGGGGCCGGAAAAATTTAAAACTACATTTTGCTGGCCGATGATGGACGTGACGGAGTTGATGGAGGCCTGACAGCTGTCAGCGTCAAGGGAGCGGTTGCGTCAAATATCTGTGCGGAGTAGAGACTTGTGAAAATTCAAACCACAGGGCCCTACAAATAATAATAAAAACATTAATTGTAATTTATCCGGTAAATATCAATGAAACAGCAATTGTCAGACTCTTTAAGAAAGTGGCGATCCCCAACGTTACCCTCCTTTGGATCGGCCGCTGTGTGTGAATTAATGTGCATAGGCCATCGTACACGATAACTTCCAAATGTACTTTGAGTTTTGGGTTTCGTCACGTAACTAGCGCAGCTTAAGGCCATTTACTTGATGAAACCACGTGTCACAAGTGCAGGGGTTATCGGCCACGGAAATTCTGAATTCAGCTCACAATAACTGCTTTAATCAGTGAAATAAAAATGTGTAAAACATTTTCAGAAATAAACTCCACGAGCGCAGTTGAAACGTGTGTTTTCAGCACCCAAAGAAGAGGTGGGAAAGGACTGACGATGTCCACCATCCCTTGCCATCACTTCGTCATGCTGGGCATGCACTGCAGTTTCGTTTCCAGTGTTTTGGAGGTCAGATGCTCGATGCATGCCATTTTAAAATGGCTGCCAATTAATCGAAATATTTTCACACATTTTTTTCGCCGTATAAATAATTTGCTTTAATAAATGAACCGCTCAAGCAAAATCAGTCGCGAGAAAAGGAAATATCATGTCAAAAAACACTGGGTTTTAATTTGCCTTTGATATATACGGAACTGTATTCCCTGATTCAATATTTTTTTCAGACCTCAAGCTCATTTTTTCTTGGTCCCAGAACATTAGCTGGGAAGCTTTGCTGTTCAATTTTATTCAATGCTCTGTGTACTCACCGTTGCGATTGAGTTTAAAATAACTAATGCAAGAGTCAGAGATGAAGAATGTGTGGTCCATTTTCGAGTTTGCCAGTTTCCCAAGTCACCTGTGCTGAGTAATATGGGAATGTGAATATACAGGTGGGAAATACAGAAATGCCTACAACTGGGATGGTGGGACTTGAGCAGATCAATCTGACTTTCAGCCACAGTCCATGCACTCCCAAATAACAGCCCAAGCCAGAAACATATTTAGTACGGAGATAATGGGCGCACAAGAGGATCTTCTCAGCTACGGTGAAAGCAACATATCATTCAGTGGGAGAAAAAAGAACAGCATGCCATACACTCCGAGAACAAAAAATCGACCTGACTGCATGCTGCGCAGCTTTGTCAGCAGAATACATCGTATTGTATCACGGGCACTTCCAAAAAGAGCATTCACGCTCATATTCTGAGTAAACAGGAAGAACGCGAGCTTATTGGAGAGGCCTTTGTTTGTGCCATTACTGGTACCACGAGGGACCCATAAGCCCACGGTGAGTGGCACTCCACAATCTCTGCAGCATTTCTAATTGATCCTCAAGGGCTATTGCCACTAATAAGCAACAATACGCTAGGCACAAGAATATACACACACACACATACGAGCTGCTTCTACCCCAAGTCATAATCTTTTGGCATCAATGAAAAAGGGGTAAAAGCTGCAGTGTGTTAACCTCTCCCATTTCAGAATACTAACGCGTTTTGAAGTTAAATACGAGTTTGACGCTTCTCTGCCCAACAGCATTTCTTTGGATTTCCAACTGTGGCCTGAACATCAGAAGGAGTTGACGACGTGTGGGCCTCAGCCGAGTCAACTGGCGTTGCAGAGAGTTTATTTGTTCAGCATCGATTTGTGTTTTTTTTTATTTCTCGTGTGTGCACGGTTGTTTTTGTTCGAATTTCTGGGGTTCTTTTTTTCGTTCCTGTACTTCATTTCGTTGTCTTTGTTTTTGTCGTTTTGGTGACCCAGGTCACCCTTGAAAATGAGACTGTCCTGCACTCTCGAGTTCTCACCACTTCGTTACACAAAGATAAAATAAACTTAATAACTCAGAGGCGGCCTTTCAAAATGCAGCATGATGCAAGGAAAGAAGAAAAAGAGTGCCCTGTATGTATATATGTTGAACTTCTTTCGCACCGTACGTAGCCAGCCATGCTAATTGGAGGTGCGGGGGAAGGACAACAAGCTAAATACAAAAAGCTATTCTAAAGAAATTAGTTTTCAACCTAAGTTTAAAAGTGCATAGCTCCAGTGGCTTCCTAATATCAGAAGGAAGAGCGTTCCAGACAGCCACAGAAGGACACTTGAAAGTGCGTGATGCAGTGACCATCTTTGTTCATTGGTTAGCCAAACAGCGCTGCAAGAATTGACCGGAGTTTGCACGATGGTTTATGCTCCTTGACGACATCAACCCTGCAAGTCAGGGCCAACATCGGTTCGTCCCAACCACGTCCACGCGGTGTCCCTGTGCGTACGTGCTGCAACGTGTCATCAAAATACCAGGCGACATCAGGAGTGGGGTTCCCCTAGTATATCCATTTTCCTAACAACACCCCCATAAATTTTGATTTAAAGCTTTCGTGACTGCAGTAATTCATATTCTTAGTTTTTTCGGTAAAGTCACGTTGAAGAGAAACAACAAAATAACAAAATATATATAAAACAATAAAAAATTCTCACGACGTTTCGACCATAACTCAAACGGTCATCATCAGGTGTGTCGGTTTGCATAAATTTATTTTGAAAACGGCATATTTATTTATATATATAAAAATAACGTTTGCGTCACGCGCAACGATGGCAGTTTGCCAGGACTACCCATACGGATGCTTATCTGAAACCGGATTCCCACCACCATCCATCACAGAAGAATTCTCTCATCAAGACTCTGTATCATAGAGCCCAATGCATATCCGACCAGGAACACATAAGCAGTGAACTCAAGCACGTACACCAAGCTCTTAGGGCTAATGGTTACTCCGACTATACAATCCGCAAAGCTATCACTCAAACCATGAAGAAGAACCCTCTTGAGGAGCCTTTCAAAACCATCACTTTACCCTACATTGCTGGGATCACAAAAAGATCTCCAAAATCTTGAATAAACACAAGATCCAGGTCCGTTTCAACACATTACATAAAATCCGTGATCTGGTTCCGTCTGTAAAAGATGTGATTCCGGACATACAATACCCTGGTGTCTACAAACTAAGTTGCCTCTGTGGTAGTAGTTACATTGGAGAAACCAAACGCCATATCTCGGACCGCATTCGTGAACATAAAGCAGACCTTAAACACGGTAGGACCAACACCTCGGCCGTAGCAGATCATTGTTCTAATTCAGTAGGCTCACATGCCATTGACTTTTCCAAGACGGAGGTTCTTTGTAAGCCATCTGGCTTCCATGAGAGATTCGTTCATGAGGCTATCCACATATACAAACACAGAGACAATTTCAACCGAGAAGATGGATTCTATCTTAGCAATCATTGGAAAGATTTGATAAATCATTTCAGTTCTTGATTGATTGTTCACGCTTACAGTGCCTTTCAGACAGCATACATAAAAACAAATTTCGTCTCCCCCCTCCTCTTTTCAAAAAATAGATGGACTAGTCCTGGCAAACTGCCATCGTTGCGCGTGACGCAAACGTTATTTTTATATATATAAATAAATATGCCGTTTTCAAAATAAATTTATGCAAACCGACACACCTGATGATGACCGTTTGAGTTATGGTCGAAACGTCGTGAGAATTTTTTATTGTTTTATATATATTTTGTTATTTTGTTGTTTCTCTTCAACGTGACTTTACCGAAAAAACTAAGAATATAACACCCCCATAATTTACATCAAGGCCAAGTGCAGCCCAGTTTCAGCTTATATGTTATTCAAACTGCTTTTTACATTATATTATAAAAAAAATATATAGAAAAAAATGGTTGAAAAATTACTGCTGAAATCTCAAGCCAATTCTTCACGTGCAATCCATTGCTGCACAGTGCCTGAACCGGGACCGCCTGGCTTGAAAGTTGAAAACAATTTCAGAAGTTTGTGTGGAAATGCCCATAACAATTCAGCTTTTTGAACTTTGGGAGTACGGTTTTCTATTCACCAAAACCAAACATGCGCCACAGACACGTGATCTGGGAAGGACGCGCTCTGTGCAAGGTGCGAAACGCCGGGTGTGTGCCGTCATCGCGCGAGGCTGCCTGCCTGCATGGCCGGCTTCCACTCTCCTCGCCACCTGTCGCCGTCATTCCTCCGTCGGGGCTCGCCCTGCATCTCATCGCCGTCATCAGAAAAGTCACTCAGTGGTTCCGTCGACTCTTCAAATCGCCGGTACAACGGATGCCCTGCCTCGTCCTCCCTCTCCACGTCGTCCTCCTCCTGCTGCCCAAATGGCTTGCGTTGGTGCTGCTGCGGCTGCTGGTTCCGAGCCGTGGCCCAACCGTTATCCATGGGGGGATCCGGTCGGTCATCTTCAAAGGGCGGCTGCGCCGAGCCGCGGTTCTCCTTGTGCTGATTAAAGGCGTCCTGAGATTGGTAAAAAAAACCCCACAGAAAGCGAAGAAGGACGTGTTAATGATCTGTCTCATTCATCACACAAAGACACAAGAGATTGGTCACGAGGTCGGTTTCTGTAGCGTGACTGCATTGAGGAGAGTAGGATAACCACCCACCCCCGGACTGCCCTGTGGGAACAGTGTTTTTCACTTTCTCAACTGACCTGGTGAAATTGGATATATTTTTTTGCAACTGTGCAATTCTCAACCGTGCCCCCCCCCCCCAAGATCATGCGCACGGTATCTGCCAAACGTTGCGTTAATTAAGCGAGAGAAAAAAAGTAAATAGCACCCAGAGTTTCCAAGGTCAGGGTCACGTACCTCATCCAGAGCCACAGAGCTGCCAACTCGGCCTTCCAGCCGGTACAGGCTCTGCTCTATAGCAATCAGCCGCTTGACGAGGAGAGGGAGCTGCAGGCAGGAGGGGAAAGGTCAGACCACAGCAGAAGGACACCCGGATTTCAGAGAACCCACAGAAACACCGGCCTGAGCAGAGCAAGGTTTAAGCAGCAGCAGCAGCACCGCAACATTGTCACCATGAATCGTAGCACCAACGATGGCACGAAAGAGAACAATCACCATCAAAGAAGTCCCAATTATTACTTCCCAACAGGCGAAGATTGACTGCAAAGCTGTGAATAGAACACAGCTGTTACCAATTAATGAGACACTCATCATGTGCTGTAGTGGAGGATCATGAATAATTAGGATGTAATTTACAGACAGGATGTGTAGGTATCTCTATGTAAAATAAGCTAATTCCATGTGCGGAGTTTGAGGACAAAGCGAACCCCTTCCCCCCAAATGTAGAAGTCAACCTGCACTTATGGCTGATTCTCTAGAACATTGCCATTTATGGGCCGTCGTGAACGGATTCAAAATCTCTACATGCATTTTAAACGACTTGGTAAATTTTAGGGGTTCTTCCATGAAGTGAAACAATTTAAACTGTTGCAAATTATGAGGCAAGGGAACTGAAGAATGTTTTTTTAGCAGAAACCACTTTTCCATCCAATTTGTGTGCAAAAAATTAAACGCCGCTGATCTTGTCACTTTCTACAAATGACCTTGCTTCCAATGATTTTTTTTATTTAAATAAGGGGTAATTATTTTTAACAAGTTATTTGTAAAATTTATAGAAATGGGAAATGTATATTTTGTATCATGAATACATTTATGATGAAGTGAATAATTTAAAACTAAACGTGAGCCCCACGTGACGGATACCAACGAATGACAGTTACGATTGGGAGGCTACTGCAAGAGCAATGCATCAATCAGAGCACATGACGCCAGCAGTGGCTGTTAAACTGACACGATCCCATTATGGAAACTGGGAAGCCACTCAACCTCTCCGAATAAAAAAAAAAACATGGCAAAATCTGATTCAAACAAGCTATGTTATTGCTCCCACTTCCTCACGGTAGCCCCAATGATCGGCGACATCAGCCCGAGCGTCACCGCAATGTATCGGTCGCGTCGCGTACAACCGGTGACACCTCTGCCTCCGTGCGCGGTAGCCATGCACTGTTCGCTCCTCCCCCTGTGGCCATGCCTGGTTGGAGGTGTAGAGCCGCTCGTTGCTGCCCAGGTGCGCCGCCATGGCCTCCATCGAGGCGGTGAGCGAGCGCGTCGGCCGCTGCTGCTGCTGCTGCCCGCTTCTCCGGCGCCTGGGCCTCGTGTCCTCCTCCGGCGGGAACTCATCCCGCTCCGAGTTCTCAGCCGAGTCTGCAAGAGGCCGGGACAGTGCCGACCACGGCGGCGGCGGCGGCGGCGGCTCTGCCAGCGCCCGACCGGACTCTGAGTCGGAGGATCCAAAGCGGGCGCGGCGCGGCCCGTCCGCGTCCTCCCGGGAGCGAGTCCTCGCCCGTCCGCTGGCGCCGCCGTCGGTGAGGCGACAGGAGCTCCGGCGTGGCTTAGCCGCGCGGTGCTGCGCCGAGAAGCCGTGCTCGCCGGCCGAGTCTGCGCGAGAGAAAACACGGGAGAGGCGACGCGGGAGTGACGCAGAGCGACGGTCAAAATCCCCAGGTCGCATCAGACCGCGGAAGCTAAGCAAAGTTGAGCCTGGTTAGTATTTGAACAGGGCACTGCATGCGGATGTTACTCCCTCATATGCATGGGTCCTCTGGTTTATGTTCACACAGGCATCTCTTGGCCATCTCGCAGGCCAGTGATGTCAGGGACCGTCACACAATTTCTTCGATCCACCAATGCTCGCCTCCAAATCGCTGGATCCAAGCGTGCACCACCACTGGCCCAGGATTTGACATTTAGGGTGACATTTTCCTCTTGATACCAGTCTTTGGAATTCCTCGGGCCGTACCTTCGGACTCCATGATCAATTCCGGTCCATCCTCCATCACTTTCCAGTTGCTCACAATGAAGTCTGACCGTGCCCTCTGTAATAAAAAAAAGATGGAATAATATTTCAGCAAGTTTCAACACAACACAAACAGCGAGCCAATAACACCTCGAACAGAGGTAGGCAACCAAATCAAGAAGAGGCATTTTTCCGAATGCGGTATAAAAAATCCCTCAATATTTCAAGAGCCGCAATGCATGTAAATACGAGACGGTCCTTATTAAATAGCGTCACTCCTTAAAGAGCCTCATGCAGCTCCGGAGCCACAGGTTTCCGACCTCTGACCTAGGAGTTGACATGAAAAAGTCGTGTGGCGAACGTCAAGCCTGGGCAACGCACATATTAGAGGTGCGACAATGCCCTGATTCACAACACATCAAATTGTGCGTGTGAAAACGTATAATAATAATTATTATTCATTTATTACAGTATTTCACAACACTGTGTGAGATGGCAATGACTTGGAAAGACCTTCACTCAAGAGTAGATGGCTACGGACGATGATAAATGGTACTTGGTTTGAAGTTTGATCACTTGATCCCCAGAGTGCATCGTAAACGTTCAAACAGTGCGGACTCTTAAATCCAATCACATCACCAAAATCGTGACAATCATCAAACCAGAGCGGGCTGGCATGATAATAATAATAATAATTGCAGGCCTAGGGGCACAGCGGAGCGAGAGAAAGGGTCGAGGTGATTAAGCCAAACGCAGCTTCGTTTCCCCATCCATGCAAATTACCACTCGACGCGTGGGTGTTGTTAATGGTTGAAGGACAGAGGTTTGGACATGAATTTCCAAGTGCTGCCACGGCATGCAGGTGCATTGTTATTACACTGTCAGGAGAGAGATAACGAGCCCTAATTGGAAATGCAGATAATTAGAAATGTGCCTGCACGGTGATGCGAATTCTCGGGCGTCAAGAAGCGTCGGCTGCGAGTGTGTCTGGGTTCGCTGGACCCTCGTTTACAATCTCACACCCATCATTCCAACCACAGCGCAACCTGCACGTTGCCAGCCCTTTACGCATTGCTCAGCCATTCAAATGCTATTTTAGGATCGACGCACGCCGTAAATGTGCAGTGAGAGAAACGGTACATCCTGATGCCATGCGATATTCATTTGAATCTAAGTCACTCAAAGGCTCCTGTGAGTGAGCGTATCTCATGGAAAGGTACTGCAGGAACCTGGCCAAAGTGCTTATTACACCATCAATCGTCGTATTCCAATGACCAAATCACCCTAAATGTGTCCAATCTCGTCATATCTCTGATTGCACACTCGGTTGCGCATGCATGATTAGTACTTGGAAGTGAAAAACTCTGAGAATACCAGGTGTTGTAGGCTCGAGCAGCGAGGTAGCCAGGAGGCGGAAGTGCAGCAATGCACTCTTGAATCTATCATCTGTGCGCAGATTTGAGTGCATGGTAGGTTTCCTTGAGCAATTTAAGTTTTCTACAACAAGCCAAACACTCGGTTATGAAACTGGCTAGACAACCCAATGCCGGACCCTCCTGAAAAGGAGTCTCGAGACTATGTGAGGCCTTTCTTGCATAAAACACTATTATTATTGTTATTAACGATTGCGGGCTTGGGGGCACCTGTGTCTCGTCTCGCCATCCAGAAAGGTGACGCTGTACACAGAGGGCTCGTCTTTGTGGTAGTTTTGATTCTGCATTTTAAAGTGGTGAGATGAACAATCATCTTTCAATATCTGAATAATAGTTGTTATGATTTTTTTTGGATATTGTGATAAAAAAAAAATCCATGAACAGGTGTAACTAGCAATTAATTACAACCAAACAATTGCTCCATTAATGTTTTGGACTGTTCTCCAGATTAGGCCCACTCAAGAATAGCACTTGTAAAGGAGACATTATTTTGCAGATCTTTGGTGTTTTGCTCACCTTTCTACTACTTTACCTTCTTTAAATAACTTCAATAAGTCACCAAAAAAGCTATCATTATGACCGATAAGAAAGGTCAGAAGGCTTTGGAAAGGACACCTCGCTCGCAAGAAAGGTTTATGGCTCGTTGCCACTCTGTCGTTGTTAACCACCTTGGTTGTTTGCCAGTTGCGTCATAATTCACTGCTCAAGGCGATGCACTTACATGCGGTTCTCTCTTCTTCTGACATTGCGAGATGTTCTTCTCCCCAAGATATGTTCCTTTTTTTCGTCATCTTCATTGTACCGGGACATATCGTGGGCAACACTACAATAAGGAACGGCATAATAGCATCCCGTGCTGGCGAGATGTTAACTACCTCGTCTGGTATGAAGGAGGTGGTGGGTTCAATCCCGACCCTGATGCCTGCTGTATATTTTGAGCGTGCATGTTCTCTCCGTGGTGGCGTGGAATTTCCCTGGGTCCTCCGGTTTTCCCTCCACATTTATAAATGTGCGCTTAGAGCATGCGGCTGTTGATAAACGCCCACACGATAAGCCGCTTCGTTTACCTACCACTTGTGGCCCTGGTCGCTTCTGAAAAAGAGCTAAATCGCTCCGGCGAGCCTTACCTGGTAAAGTAAAAAAAAATAGTTTATATAGCAACAACAACAACAACAATAATGATGATGAGGCAGGCAGCTGACCCTGAGCGCGGCCTCGTGGTACCAGTCGGTGCGCGTCGCGTTGAACACCTGCTCCGACGCGGTGCTCGGCACGGAGAGGCGCCGTGAGCCAATGCGCTCGCGGCTCCACTCGACCGGTGCCGACGCCTGCGAGCTGCGATGGCGCCGCATGAGCTGCGGCGAGAGGGCACGCGCGGTTTAGAACGGTGGAAAAGGCGTCACGTACGCGTGGTCGCCACGCTGGCCCCACAACGGCACCTTGTTTCACGATAGTTACGTGCGTGTCGAACTTCTTTCGCGCCGTGCATAGCCAACCGCATTAATTGCAAGCGCGGGGGAAAGGGGGAAGAACCTTCACACAAAAAGCAGTTCTGAAGAAATTCGTTTTCAACCTAGATGATTTAAAAGTGCATAGCTCCAGCGGCTTCTTAATATCGGAAGGAAGAGCGTTCCAGATGGCCGCAGAAGCGCATCTGAAAGTGTGCGATACTGCGACCGTCTTTGTTTATTGGCTAGCCAAACGCCACTGCGAGATGGTTCATGCTCCTTGACGAGGTCAGTGTAGGTGGGAGGACGGGCGTTCACCAAAAGTCAGGGTGGGGGGGGGGACACACACGATACAGTCAATGTGAGACCAACTTTAAACAGGCGTTTAATGCTGGATGACGATATGATTTGCGTTTGTCCATTGTGCATTCTGTTCTCGCTGCGACGTTTTGTCCAGCCCCCCTCCAACTATAAGTATTTATAGTGGTGGCTGCTGGCCACCACCACACCTAGCCACCTTTATCTCCCCCTGGGATAATGTTTACACACTCAACCGTGTACTCATTTAAGGCTAAGTCGACCGAGGAGAGGCCCAGACCTATTTGGTATATCACTCGCCACTGATGTTAGCCGTGGCCAGGAATTTAACTCAAATTGCCAGGTGTGAAGCGCAGTACATTCACCACTGAACCACCACTCTCCCGCACGACAAAGACATCATCTGTAGCCTACATAACCTCTTGGGGCAAGTGCTCTTAGCAAGCACCTTTTAAGGCCAGAATAGCGCACAAAAATGGTTGTGTGGCCAGCACCACACCCAGCTGTCTTTTTCTCCCCGGTGCTGATGTTTACACAATCCACCAGGTATTCATTTAAGGCCAATATTAACCTCAAGACTGAGCCCAGGACACATTCAGATATCACTGACCACTGCTAAGATCAGTGACCGGCCATCAAACTCAGGTAGCCGGGTTGGTTCTCTATGCGAGCACCACTGCGCCACCTCTCCCCCCACACACACATATATACAGTATATGCAATCCACAGGCAGACAAAGATCCCTATTTAGCTTAAGAGACAAGCGGGGGTGGGGGGAATGTTGGTTAACGAGCACCTGTTATGGCTGATGGAGCACATGAGTGAGCAGGAAGTGTGGCCAGACACAGGCATGCTCGGTTGTCTTTATTTGCCAAGTTGTGGATTTCATTACACCGCTGTCCCAGGTACTAATTTTAGGCTTAGATCACCTAGGGAAGGCACAGTCCAGATTTAGAAAGCAATTGTCACTCCTGCTGCTGCTGCTGTACACCATGGCCAGGAATAGTTCCGCGTAGCGGCCTGGGTCAACTTGATGCCGTTCAACGCGCAGTGGCGCACACAATGACTCGAAAGATCCAAATGTGCCTTTTGAACCGATGGCCCCATTTTAAACACAATAATTACCACACGGTGGTTCGCAAGAAGTGTTTGGTCATGCATCGGTTCGTACGTCAAACAGGTATTGATTAGTTTGTAACCTCTTGACATTCGGTCAGGCTGTGCACAAAAAAGATCAACATCCGTGCCACACAAATATCCCTCGTTGAAGCCACGACAAATGCGTTGGGGTCTTTAGTAGTTGCTGCTAATTGAGTTATTGGCGACCAGTGCGTTGCCTTGATTTTTTTCCTCCCCTGAATGTGAATCAATTCAGTCGTTGGATGCTGTCCAACATCAAGTGGCAGGCAGCAGATATCAATTGTTGTGCTCAGCGCTTCCATTCATCTACCAGTAAACACCAAAGTCTGTTGTTTCAAATAATAGATGATTAGTAGTCGTGTAATGATTTGCCGATGAATCATTACCGTGATTCATCGACAACTTCGGTTGTACGTCAGTCATCCACAGAAAGCAAAATTGGTATGTTTTTGCAGAATTGAGGGAGGGTTCAAAATGACTAAAATGAACCTCAGAACTATGATACTGATTGTGAGTCATGTATGACATTTGACCTAGACATTCAACAAAAACTGGCCGTGCCTACGAACCCTACTAGATTTAATGCACCCTACCAGGGTTTTCCTTGAGCAGACTGACTAGGCCGCAAAAGGTTAGAAGAGATCCACTAATATCTACGTGTGTGGAGGTACGTATAATCTTTGGGCAGTGGGGAGAACTGAAACTTAGAAATATAATACCGGCATTTAAAATATTTTAAAACTAAACTATTTTTTTATTTTACCTGGTAAGGCCCACTGAGCTATTTAGCCATTTTTCAGAAGCGGCCCGGCCACAAATGACAGCTCAACAAAGTGGCTTATCACGTGGAAATGTATAGCAGCAAAATACTCTAAGCGCACATTTCCAAATATGGATGGAAAACCTCAGGGGTTGGGATTGAACCCATGGCATCTATATACCGGGCAAGCTACTTAAAATCTCGTCACTGTGGCACCATTAATATTACTGTTTTCATATTACTGTATTGTATTTATTATTAATGATCGCGGGGTCAGGGGCACCTTTGTAAATAGTTTTGCATACAAACAGTTTTGCATCTTTCCCGAGGGCATCAGGTGATGATTACCCGCACCTCTGATCAGCACACTTCTTTTTGCACCGGCTACGTACGGTGCAGAGGAAGTTCAACATAGATACATACCTGCTGGTAAATGGTCGTGGTGAGTTCCTCGGTCACCTCGATACGATGCTCCTTCAAGAACTGGAGCTCATTTTGTGCCTCCTGTTGTACAGATGTTAGTTCCCCGCGTAACAAAAAATAAAAAAAACATCATCAACGCACATCCAAGGCAACCGTCAAAAAGGCAGTTAGAGTGTGTGGAGAGTTACACACACGCAGAGCCTTCGCTGAACACAGGTGTGTGTATTAGACGGATGCGTCCTTTATCCGCTGCAAAAGCATTACGAGCAGAGAGTGTGTGAGTACGGTCATATAGGCAGGCTGAGAACACACTTTGCAAAGATGGCTTTGGGTTAATGAAACAATTTCGAAAGGTGAACACAAATGAACCCCCAGGTGCTCTTGTGATGTGTTGCCCACAACGGTATATTTTATATTTTTTCAATTTTGCTTTTCGTTATTTTAGCCAATTTTCCACAATTTTATCCAAATTCTGCTTTTGACATCAAGCCATGGGATGAACTCCCACAGAGCATTGCAGCAATTCGTGTGAGAGAATGGCCAACAGAAGTGAATGAAACAGAACTACATCTGACTTCCCCTCAAGTCACCTTCTGATCTAGACAATAAGGCATGTCGCCTGACAGCAAAGTTTAGCGCAGAACCAACATTTTATATCGTGCGGGTTTTCTTTGCGTATTCCTTGGTGACGGGCTGAGACCGTCAACTTACTGTGCTTGAGAACAAACTTTAATCACAGACGGCTTTCCGGATTCAGCAGATCAGTGCTCTGACCACTGAGCCACCCGACCACCAATCCCGAAGCCTTTCATAGTCTCCGCTCATTTCAATTTTACGAAATGTGCACTGTGATCGTAAAAGCCCCTGGCCATGATGAACGGCCCGTGAGCGATCCGAAGATCGGTAAACCTGCACGTGCTCCATCACCGCTCGAGTGAGCGACTCTGGGTCCTCACCAGGCTGTCGGCCTCAGCCTCCGCGGTGTCCACGGCATCCTGCACCGCGTCCTGAGCCATGCGCAGGGCGATCACCCACTCCTCCGACATCTGCGTGTCTGTGCCGACGCCACGCATCCACGGTTAGCGCGATGCTCGTTACGCTCCACCCCCGTACCATGATCGCCACGGCTATCCACACAAAACTCTCCAGCTTTCCATATGTAACCAGTCAGCAGTTGCCCAGTTGCCTGTTCAGCAGTATCACATCCAGTCGTCGTGGGAATTGAGGAAAGGTTAGTAAAGCCAAAAATTTGGATCACAGTTGTGCAACAGAGCTGGCTTTGGAGGAATGGACGATTGGGTATGGAGTGATTTTTTTTTGTTACGCTGGCACGAGTGAACTTTGGTCATGAAGAGGTCATGGATGTACGTGATGAAGTAGCAGGGCAGTGGTTAGCGCATTGTGCCACGAACCCAGCGGTCCGACTTCGATTCCTCCTCACAACCAATATCCGTGGCGAATATTTGAACCTGTCCTTAGCCTCCGCTAGGTTGACTCAGCTAGGTTGACTCAGCTAGGTTGACTCAGCTAGGTTGACTCAGCTAGGTTGACTCCGCTAGGTTGACTCAGCTAGGTTGACTCAGCTAGGTTGACTCCTCAGCTAGGTTGACTCCGCTAGGTTGACTCAGCTAGGTTGACTCAGCTAGGTTGACTCAGCTAGGTTGACTCAGCTAGGTTGACTCAGCTAGGTTGAGTAGGTGGATCGGTGTAAACATCAGCACTCGGGAGACAAAAGGTGATTGGGTGCGGTGTTGGCTACCCACCCCCCTCGTGTGCCGTGCCGGCCTTAATAGGTGCTCGCTAACATCACTTGCCCCAACAGTCTGTATAAGGCTAAACTGGGGCTCTTTGTCGTTTTGGTTTGGTAACTGCATTCGTAAACACAATCGTGAAGGTTTCCCAAATCAATTACAATATGCTCGAAACTCACTCAGAGTGGCAGTGTGCACAATACATGCAACGTCTCCCGCATCATTTACTTACCCCTACTACCACTTAGACCCTCTCACTCATCGCCTTAATCACATCCCGACCTGACGACTGCAACTCTCTGCTCCAGGTAGCTCATCTCCAAATGCGATGCCAGATATCTCATTCGCATCCGTGAATGAGACCACATCACCCCAAACCCTCCAGTTTCCCTACCCAGTCCTGGATCAACTTCAAGATCACACTCACTGTCTTTGAGACCCATCCATGGACTCTTCTTTCACTCTACTCCTCTCCACGCACTCTCCGCTCCAGCAACCAAGGCCTTCCTATCAAAGCCTCCAGTCAATAAACACTCCATATGAGGTCACTCTTTCCTCATCTGAAGTCTCCCCCCCCACCCAGGGTCTGGAAATCCCTTAAATCGTCCCTGCTTTCGACTCCCCTGCTCCTGTTGGTTCTATTCGGTAAAGTCACGTAGGTAAAAAATAAAATAATATAACAAAAATCACGACGTTTTGGCCACAACACAAGTGGCCTTCATCAGGTGAAGGGACCGTGCTGTCATGAGGACAGCGTTGGAGTGAAAACAGCCAAGCCGAGGTCGTGTCCTTTAAGCTGTGTGGGAGGAAGCAAAAACGCTTTGACAAAGGAATTAGCATAAAAATGAGCATGATGTACGTTAGAGGTACATGGACCATGATGGACCAGGCGCGGGTGGGGACCATGACGGACCAGCAGCGGGGGGGGAGGGGGAGTAGAGTGAGTGGAGTGAGTGAGTGGAGTGAGTGAGTGGAGTGAGTGAGTGGAGTGAGTGAATGAGTGGTGTGAGTGAGTGGAGTGAGTGAGTGGAGTGAGTGAGTGGAGAGAAATAAGCAGCTGTTAAAGTTTGGGATACCACTACTTGAAAAAAATATACTGTACCAGTGAAAATTAGTTTAATGTTTGGTTTGATTTAGAACATCTTTCCAATGATTGCTTAATTCAACCGAGAAGATGGTTTCAAATTAAGCAATCATTGGAAAGATGTTCTAAATCAAACCAAACATTAAACTAATTTTCAATGGTACAGTATATTTTTTTCAAGTAGTGGTATCCCAAACTTTCACAGCTGCTTATTTCTCTCCACTCACTCACTCCACTCACTCACTCCACTCACTCACTTCACTCCACTCACTCACTCCACTCACTCCACTCACTCACTCCACTCACTCACGCCACTCACTCACTCTACTCACTCACACCACTCACTCCACTCACTCACTCCACTCACTCACTCCACTCACTCACTCCACTCACTCACTCCACTCACTCACTCCACTCACTCCCACTCACTCACTCCACTCACTCACTCCACTCACTCACTCACTCCACTCACTCACTCCACTCACTCCCACTCACTCACTCCACTCACTCACTCCACTCACTCACTCCACTCACTCCCACTCACTCACTCCACTCACTCACTCCACTCACTCACTCCACTCACTCACTCCACTCACTCTACCCCCCCCACCCCCCCGCTGCTGGTCCGTCATGGTCCCCACCCGCGCCTGGTCCATCATGGTCCATGTACCTCCTACGTACATCATGCTCATTTTTATGCTAATTCCTTTGTCAAAGCGTTTTTGCTTCCTCCCACACAGCTTAGAGGACGTGACCTGGGCTTGGCTGTTTTCACTCCAATGCTGTCCTCATGACAGCACGGTCCCTTCACCTGATGAAGGCCACTTGTGTTGTGGCCGAAACGTCGTGATTTTTGCTATATTATTTTATTTTTTAGCTACGTGACTTTACCGAATAGAACCAACAGGAGCAGGGGAGTCGAAAGCAGGGACGATTGATCCTTGCAGTCACAAAAGCTTCAAATCTAGAATACAATAAATATCCCCCACCGTCTCCAGGATGACCGTGTTCGACTGTTTCTGTGCAGCGTCTCGAGATGGGGTTCACACAGGAGCTTTATAAATACAAATTGTATTTTGTATTCGACTGCTAACACATTTCCAGAACATTTAAATGTTATTTTCAGTGCTCTCTGTTGTTGTTATTATTGCAGCGTGCACATGTACAAACTCACTCTTACTGTGCAGTGGTCCCCTGTGGTTTATTTTTGCTGACATGTAAATTGTGTCATTGGAACATGCACATGTGGTAATGCAAAGCAGTAATTCTGCATGTTTATTTTATACATTTATATCTGTGTGTTATGTGTTTACCAACCGAGAACACCAGTGGTCCAATATGAATGTCAATGGTTATACACGACCAAAATAATATTTCATGAAAGTACAGTGTTGTTCACAAACCAAAAAAATACTTCACAGCCATTTGCCAATTCACTGCTGAAAGAAGCCCTCGCCACACAATGTGGGTCATGGGTGTTGTTCCACCAGATGTTACCACGCCCGTCACCACAGGTTGGTTAAGTATGGTGTATGCATGTATGCTGAACTTCTTTCGCACCGTGGTGTAGCCAACCATGCTCATCGGAGGTGCGGGGGAAGGGCAACAAAGCAGACACACACAAAAACTGTTCTCAAAAAATGAGTTTTACATTTTGAGGATTTAAAAGCGCATAGCTCCAGTGGCTTCCAAATATTGGAAGGAAGAGCGTTCCAGATGGCCGCAGAAGGGCATCTGGAAGCGCGCAATGCGGTGACCAGGGACCGGTGTTACTGTACCATTGCATAACATAGTTGACCTACCTGGTTTAATTCGCTTATATCCTCCATTTTCAACATTTTCAACAGCTTCTGCGATTTGCAAAGAAAATACAACGTTTTATTAGAAATGCACATTTGTAATTGTATTAATTTCAGTTACAAAAAAAAAAGGTTGCATAAACGCCCACGGAAATCTTACAATTGCTTCCTGCACCTCCAATGAGCACGGTTGGCTACGCACAGTGGCGACAGAAGTTCAACATACGTACGTGCACACACATCCACGGAATGCGTGGCTGATTAAAGTCGCTTTTGTACTCTACATCCGTGTTCATCAGGCATTGCTATTGCAGTGTTGTTCGTGGAGTGTCCACATTTCCTGGGGCCTTATCCTTGACGTGTACAATGGCACACACATAGGTCTCAAGAACGACCTTGACATCCATCGCACACACGCCTCGTTTTTAAATCATAAAAGAAATTTCAACAACAAACACACACACACACAAACAGCCATCCTCCAATAAGTGTAAGAAACTAAATATTATTAGAAACAAAATGTCCCTGGCTGGCTATACAAACATTTACCTAATACAAATCATAACCTTACTCATGTTCACCTCCAAAATTACATTCCCTTTCTGTAACCATCTCAATAGTAAATGTCATTTAATGCATCCTCTCTCCATGGAACGTCGAGCCAAGGGCTCGCGATTTAGCAAAAGAAATACTCTTAAGAACGGGACATAATAGTACAATTCAACGCCAGCAATGATCAATCCCCTGCTGGATGAAGAGCACAAACAAAGCCGTCGCCAGGTCTTACGATTTTTTCCACGTGCTGATAATTATCCGGCTATCACCTGCACACAGAGCTGCTTTCATATCTCCATCTGCTTGGTGGACGTGCCCTGCAGTGAAACATTTCATGGCTCCTAATGTCACTATTCTTAAGTGTAAAATTAAAACGTCCTTAATCGTTGCTTCTAATACCCCTGCAGCATTCATCGTGCAGTGAATCTTATTCCTCCTGGTTCTTCTTTCGCACGGCTGCCGATGCAGATGCCGAACGACATCTGCAGTTTCACAATCAGCTGGCCAAGCCAGATGACCACGTCAGCAGCAGCGGGCACCGTGCAGTGAACGACTTGAATTAACTCGAACTTGTTCTTCCATCATCTGCGTAAGGGGAGATAATTCCCTTACGCCCAGAGTGTGACTTGAATTCGCAGGCGGAGGGATGAGAGACCACGGAACCTGCGCGTTCAAGGGAGGGCCTTGCGCGCCACCTGCTGTCGCGTCGTGGTGGCTACTGACGCCAACCTTGCGACAGCGCCGAGTTCATCCAAATTGCCACCACCGACAAACGCGCACCAAAGGATAATTGAGAGGGAGGCTTCCTCCCAGCGGCTGCAGGAGAGACGGACGGAGGCCTCTGGGGCAGGCCTAACTCGCGTTGTCTCTCGTGAGAGCCCCGGCGCATGAAACCAAATCCAGGCTCAGCCAAGCTCATGGCACCGTGGGGTGGGTTTAACTCGCGGTCCGTTCATGAGGGCGGGCAGGCTGTGTGGCATGGATATATTGTCGGTGCATGAGAAATTACTAAGGGCCCAGTAGCCTCCTGTAGACTAATGGTGTCACCACACTTCATCTTACACTTGATACGATTAGCACGGTTGGCTATGTACGGTGCGAAAGAAGTTCAACATACTTACGTCAAGATTGAGCCACATATGGCGCTTATCAGAGGGAAATTGCAACAATTATCATTCCGTATATGCATCCAGTACCACTGCTAATGTACGTAATATAACTTCTCGACTTTCGCATCGCCAATTAGTTGAGACTAACGAGGGAGTGTCAGCCACAGAAGGGAACACGCCCGAGAGAAAGTCCCCCCCTCAGTTCCACGTGTCTGAGAAATTCGTGCACAACAACAGAGAATGTTGAGTGGTGTCGTTAGAAACGTGGTGTGCATTTATCAATTCTGGAAGGATGATGGGCTGAGTCATCGACCTCATTTGGGATTGAAGCTCACAACCTTTGGATTGCGAGTCAAACATTACAACTACAGAACCACTTAGTAACGTTCAATACGTGCACACCACACACCTGTGTCTCTTGATGCTAATTATTGATGTCCACTTTAACTCTTGATTCTATGTGAAAGGGCTGCTAATTGTGGCTTTTGCGTGGAAATTCAAGTAAACAACAACCTCTTCAGCCATTAATTATATTATCAATCCAAGACTGGATGAAAGCTTTAACCATGCCGTGCCGGTAATGGCATTATTTGATTTTACTTCACCACGTTGGTCGGTGTGGGTTAGTGAAGAATCAGACTCGGGTCTGATTCAGATATTACTTGCAACCCTTGTTAGCCACGGCTGGGAATCGAACGAGATCCAGGTCACTGGGTTCACAGTACAGTGTGCTCGCCACTGCGACCACCAAGTACACAGCATGAATTACACTAAAGATGGTTACTGCTGGTCACCAGTGGTTGTCCCGTGGGGAGACCGGCCCCTAAAACAGGAATGTAGAGTCTCTGCTGTCAATGGAAATAAGTGCCCCTCAACCCCCGTTTAAGACACCAAACTAATTACAAACACTCCCAGTAAATTACGTGAGACTCATCAGACAAAAAAGGTGCACTCAGTCCTGTGGAGATACCTGACTTCCATTATTTTATAGTTGCAAGCTAAAAATCTGACGTCGCGAAACGAGTCGTACCTCCTTCCACCACCACCACCTCCTCCTCCTCCTGCTTCTGGGGGCCCTGCAGCAGCTGAGAGAGCCACAGCTTCACCTTGGCGCTGCCAAACTGCTTAAAGCGTTTCCTCACCGTGTCGTAGTACCACTCAAACGATCGCGCCTTCAGGAGCCTGTGCGAGCGACACGGCACAAGGGGACATCATCCATCGCCCAAAGCGGCCACGCCAGTTGTATTGATCTCCGGCACTTGACGATTCACCGATTCACTCGAGTCGCATGCCCACCGATGGGGGTGGGGCCAGGCACCTCCTTATCACTCGTGAACTACACCCATTGATTCGTCCATCCGTGTTGAGAGCCTCGCATAACGCAGATTTATGGCAGCCTACTTGCTGTGCTGCTGCATATTGAACACGCCGCGTCGCCGGTTACTTATACGTGCAAAGCCCTAACACTCGGGATGCCCCTCTGTTGGCCTACTGGGGCACGGTTCAATTACCACAGCCGCCCAGTAATTAGAAACGACCGCAGAGGTCAGAGGTTAAATCCCCTTGCCAGAGTCCCATGTCCATATTTCTTGAGATCCACTGAACATGCCGGGATGTTGTGGTAGAGCAACACACGGTTCAGCTTGGCACCTCTTAGGGCCATAACGTTCCAGTGGAAGGTTTCCGCTGGTCTCAATCACTGCCAAGTCACATAAATTATACAGTGCAGTGCACACATAAGTAACATTCGTTATATACACAGTGTTGAATACAAAAATATTCACTCATGCAATTCAGTAGTTGTGTAACAATGCACCGATTGATTCAAATCGATTCTCATGCTCACAATAACAACAACAACAACCACCATTCGCCACTAAGTGGTGGTGACGTCACCACGGCGCTTGTGCCAGGCTATGTGCACGTTGAGGCCACGTGAAGTGTCGAACGCCCGCTGGCAAGAGGTCACGGGGCAGACCCAGGTGCCACGGGTCGACTCACTGAGATGCTCACAATAGACGCATCGAATCAGACGTGTAACAATGTTTTTGTTTTACGGTTTATGCATGTGACATAGAAAGTGTATGTTAATAGTATATGTAGGCCATTAAAATTAGACACAATAAAAACTAGATAGTAAAAACAAGCCAAAAAAAAGTCATCCTTAAATGAAACCAGGACCCCCAAATCGTGACAATTCAATAACAATTGATCAAATAATTCGATAAATTTGAGGCGAGGGGAGACGGGAGCATTGCGCGTACCGCAAACTCTGTGTGTGAGGACACGCACCTGCCAAACCGTGCCAGGGCAGTTCCACGATTGAGGACGTACATTTCAGACACTTTAAGGATGACGCCAATCATTAGCATAATCATGGGACAGCCTTTTATTTGGGCATAGCATGTCAACCGATTAGGACTATTAGATTTGATATTGTGGCAACTGCCTGATCAGGCAACTATCTGATTATGCTGGTTGTAACTACCAGCAAGATGTTGTAAATGTTCTGGATCGTTCTCCAACATACTGGTGCTGCTGAAGCAGTAGTAAATCGGCGCTTCTGTTTTCATGACAATTTTATTCATTGTCCGTGTCGGGTGGAGGAGGGTGTACAACACACATTTTACTTACGCGATCTAACCCATAACAAACAACCGTGAATCGTGTTCGTCGCGAAAGCCTTCGTGTCAAAGTTACCCAACTGGTCGAGTATTTGAACCGATAATCGGGAGAGTGATCAATTACTTAAATAATAATGCGGAGAGGCCGCCGGTGATGGGAGGCCCTGGGGCAGGGGGGGGGGGGGTGGCACGTTTACCTCTGCTTTAGGCAGACGCTGCAGAGCCGGGCCTTGGCCTGCCGGTTGTAGGCGCTGCAGTCGCGGCACACGTAGAGGCAGCAGCTCTGGCATCGCTCGCGAGAGTTGATCAGGATGAGGAACGGGCTGTAGCACAGGATGCAGCACTTGTCGTTGAAGGCCTCCTGCCGTGCGAGGAGTCCCATCATGCTCTTCTTCTCCTGGAGGTGCTCCTTCAGCTCGCTGAGCGAAACAGGGATTTAAATATTACATTGCCGGGGTGAGACACTCAACAACATCATCATCATCATAACCGTGATCCATTGTTATTCATCAGGCACTAAATATCTGTATTTATCAAGTGCTTAAAATTTGTAATCGGAGTGCCACGTTGTTTTCTTTTTCACGGAACTGGTGAACTGTAATAGAGTGAACACAGAACAAGAGTGTTCTTATTCTTAAGTTCTCTCCCAAGGGTGCTTCCATGGCTCAAGATCCACTGATTCCATCCAATCCCACTCCCCTCCCATTGCGCCTCACAGCGCCGCAGCCTGAAGGTTCTTGAGCCTTGTCTAGCGAGGAATGGTCGAGGTGGCTTCCCCCGTTTCCTTCCTCAACGGTGTTTGCTGTAATGCGTCACATCGCTGAACGCAGTTGAGCGTTAGCAAAAATAATTATATTGTTTTTTGGTCGAGCGCCCTTCGTACGAGGGAATTGCACCAAGGACGAAATAAATCAGCTGAAGTTAAATGAAAACAATTAATGAAAGTAATGTGTTGCCCTCTGTATCTGACCAGTGTGAATGCACAACTAGGTTACGTGTTTGAGAATATCCGTCAAAACAAAGCCAGTTAAATAAATATCAATGAGGACAGCGTGTGTGCATGTGTGGCACTTTTAGTCTTCACAATCGCGAGTGATTCTCGCGATCATGAATGTTTTATATGTAAAAATAATGTTCCTGACGAGGTTTAAAACTTGTCTCGCAGCGCAGTGGGGGGGGGGGGGGGGGGGGGGGGCTCAACTGTCATGGATGGATCGTTGCTATCCTAGCCGTGACACCGACCAACACGACGTAGCCTGCATGGTGACAGTGAAGCTGTACGACCTTGCCCTTGGGGGGCGTCCATAAATGACGTCACGCGATTTTGGACGATTTCTGCCCCCCCCCCCCCCACTCGTCACACGGCGTCACAAAAAGTCAGACCCCCCCCCCTCAAATATGACGTCACAAAGCTCTGCCCCCCCCCCCCCCAAAATCATTAAATAAAACATGCTTCAAATCGCTTTAAACTATTGTCATTGTAGTGCGTATTTAATGTGGCGCTGCACTCTGATGTTGTAGGAGAAAACATTTATTAAAAAAAAAGTATATTTAATTAAGTAGAACGTGTTGTCTATATTTATGTAAATTTGCGCATTTTCATGTGACGTCACATTTCTCAAACCCCCCCCCCCTCGTCACACATCGTCATAAATATCTGACCCCCCCCTCTAGGTGCGTGACGTCATTTATGGACGGCCCCTTGCGGCATGTATGCATTGAACCACGGCAAAAGTGAAGTAGCTGAGAGTGCTTGGGCTTTATTTGTCATCACTAATATCACAACTTCATTCACCGCCTCTATCATTGAGAAGGCACAGACAACAACAACAACAACAAAAATCAACACATCCGTCAACTCCTGAGAGGGGGGGGGGGAAATAGTTGGTGACGTTTTGGGCAGTGGCGCTTCTTCGTCGTCAACAGATCAGCTAAGTTTTCAGAGCAGCGTTTAAATTATAACAAGACCGGGTCCCATACTCTTTGGTTCTTTCGGTAAAGTCACGAAGGTGTAAAATAAAATAAATTAAATCACGACGTTTCGGAAGCAACACAAGCGTCCGCCATCAGGTGGAACAGCCACTGGGAAGTGCAGCCTCAATTTGTGTGGCGCACGGAGCATCTGCTGCGGACAACGCAGCCTCCCTTGGAAGACGGTAAGCTGACGTCAAAACTCAAAGCACGCATATCCTATTATTGGTTCTTTCGGTATAGTGACGCAGAAGGGAAACAATAAAATAATGATATATATAAAACAATAAAATTCTCACGACGTTTCGACTGCAACACAAGCAGTCATCATCAGGTGAGAATTTTATTGTTTTATATATATTTTATTATTTCATTGTTTCCCTTCAACGTGACTTTACCGAAAGAACCAAGAATATGAATCACTGCAGTCACGAAAGCTTTAAAACAAAACAAAAATCACGCATATCGTATTAACTTTCCTCGCGAGCTGTAACAAAAAAAATGGCTTTGCTTCCAAAAACATGACATATTGCAGCATGCGCTCAAATTTGTTCAACGCCATGTTATTTTAATCAGGAAGTTAGCCATAAGAAAATCCATTACGTATAGTGAGTAACTTCATAAAAAAAAATATTCAAACAGCCATGAACCGTATTCTTAGCTCTTTCGGTAAAGTCACGTTGAAGGGAAACAATAAAATAATAATGTATATATAAAACAATAAAACATTCTCACGACGTTTCGACCATAACACAAACGGTCGTCATCAGGTGTGTCGGTTTGCATAAATTTATTTATTTTTAAAACGGTGTATTTATTTATAAAAAACGTCAGCGCCACGCGCAGCGATTTGTCAGTTTGTTTAGAAGGACTAGTCCATATATGTTCTGAAAAGAGGAGGGGGGAGACGAAAAATGATTGCATGCTGTCTGAAAGCCACTGTAAGCGTGAACAATCAAGACCTGAAATGGTTTATCAAATCTTTCCAATGATTGCTATGCCAAAATCCATCTTCTCGGTTGAAATTGTCTCTGTGCTTGTATATGTGGATAGCCATGAACCGGTTTCCTACGCGAGGAACATTTCACTGGCGACGAATCTAATACAAACGTTGTGGACACAAGCAACGGTGCCCCAATGACCCTCGTCGTTGCCCTGACACGATGGCGAGAGGAGATAACTTGCACAGCTCTAAAACTTGGCCAACGATGTCCCCCTTGCCTCCCCACCCTACCTCCCACCAAAAAAAAAGAGGAGCCACAGATGCAAAGGATGAACATAGGCATGGCGCGTAACACTGCTGGTGCACAAAGACCGGTATTGTTTCGCTCTTTGTTTCGGGAACGGCGCCTCTCTCGCAACCTGCGGCACCCCCCCACCCCACCCCCTCCAGGTATCGCCTTTGCCACGGCGAACAGCAGTGGCTGGAGGTCCGCTAGGATCAGTCAGTACAATCTACTTCCAGCCGGGTGGCACAAATGATATATTTCAGGGCCCTTTGTCATTTGGATTCAAACATTTAGGATTTTAAGAGGGAAAAGAGAAAGGTAAAGTTTCGGGCCGTATGACCATACGTGAGTTATAAGAGTATTCTGTTATAATGCCATCAGGTTTTCCCTCGTCAGTGGTTGGAATTGGTCCTCGGACTGTTCAATTTCCCACTTCTGTGGAGCATATTGCCTGGGCCCCTCTGGCCTTGGGGCCTGATGCAGTTGAACCTCTTGCACACTCAATAGTTACTCCCCTGGTATGAGTTTTGGTTGGAGGTCATGTCCTGGTAAGATGGAATTTCCATCAATTTTATATTTTATTCATTTGTGCTCATTTCCCCCAACTTTATCCCGATTGTGCTAACAGTACCATGCCATGAGACAAAGTATCAATTCAGATCTCTCAAAGTGCAATCCGTCATGTTGGAGAATGGCCCACAGAAGCATATGTCACAGAACTACCTCAGATATACCTTTAATTGACCTCTGGTTCAAACAGGAAAGGGGAGTAACCTCTCACCCCTTTGCCATATGAGATTAACGTTTGCCAATTAATCCTCAGATGGAATTTAGAAAAATAAAGTGCAGAACCAAATTGTATGTGAGAGCTGTTTTTATTTTGTGAAGCAATTGACCCGGGTGAGACACATCACATTCCTAGGTGTGGGAATAAAGTTTAACCAATGGTAGCTGCTGGCAAGCAAATCCATAATCTCAGCGGAGGTAGCTCTGTGCTCTGATCTCCACCTCAAAATTCCCCCGAATAAAATAATCCCGCGTCCTTGCGCCAACCACCCAATGCTGCCCCGGTGGCACCGACCCGATCTTGCGATCCTCGAGTTGGCGCAGATGCGCATCGCGCTGCAGAACCTCCATGATGTGAGCCGCCTCATCCTGGCTCAGGCCGCACGCGCTCAGCCAGCCCTCCATCGCAACCGCCTCCGCGTCTCCAGGGACAACCGGCAGTGGCGGTGGCGACGGCTCCTCCTCACAGCCCGCGCAAAGGCCTGGTGACAAAACAGCAGAGGTCACGGGCTTTCATTCACTCGAAAAAAAATAGGTCTCCCTTTGTACCTGCCCCAACACCATTTTCGGTCGAAGGGTTACGTCGAAAGGTTATGTTGCTCCATTGTGGGCAACAGCAAAATCCCAACATTGTACTGCACTTATAATGCTCCCATGTCTATGCGCCTCTCCTTCCTCAACCCGCACTAACCAGCGTGGTGAAGTTCGGTCAAATAATATATGTGGGAAGGGCTGATGACACAGTGCAGCGCCTAGCTTTGGTCCAAGTAGCCTCGTTGAAGGTGATGACGCACTGGGACAATCATAGAGCAATAATCACGTACAGCAATTTTCACCAGTGACACACTGACCACGAGAAATGACGGCAACTTGTATGGAAATTTGTGAAGGGATCCTGTCTAGAAAACAATATAAAATAGTAGCTCTCCCCCGATGGCTTTTTTCTGGGTGTACCGTGCGTGGTACAACTCTGAGCTGCAAAGCACAACGGCAAACACAATCAGACACACTTTAGGAGGCACAACAGACAGTTCCATAGTCAGCAAAACTGTTTCGTTGAGTATATAATTGCATGAGTCGATGGATTTGCTGTGTGTTTAGAAGGTCGTGCGAGCCTGGCATGACTGGAAGTGATTTACGCAAAGAAAACCTGTCACAAAGCATCATCGCTCGCACCAATGTATGGTGTGGGTGATCAGATACATTCTAAATCAGAGAATCATTCACTGAATTTTATTGTGTAAAGGAATGCAGAAGTATCGCATTCCGAGACAAGATATTTTTGAACAGGTTAAGTGGAAGTGCACTCTGGAATGTGGGTGGGGATGCGGTCGCAATTGCAGGATAAGGATTTGAGCAAGGGATTATAAACCTGCTTTTCTGAGAGAATGAACCTCCCCATGACATCACTCTGCAAGTCATCACCACTGTTTGGTAAAGCAATAGAACATCCACCTCCAACAGTCCACTCGTGGGCTTAGTTACATTTAAAGAGGCAGAACAAGTTTTGAGACTTCCAGCTAATTAAGCCACCTCAATACCACCAGCCAGGTACGGATTCATAAGGGTCATTCCGTACCAACTCAATCACAGCTATTGCTCGACCGTCTCAAGATTTTTCGAACAAAAAATTCACTCGGGGGTTTTTTTTTGGACCTGCGAAGTTCACAAATGCGCGTCATTTTTTCCTTATTGCATTTGCGTTGTGACCTGCCAAAGGTCAACCTAAAGTAAAAAAAAAGTGGTCTTGACTAGAAAAAATCACACTGGGTTCAATTGAAACGCTAACCATCATGTGTAGCGCCTCGTTCAAATCCATAATGAACAAGGATTTTTAGAAGAAAACAAATATCAGAAGCTCCTAACTCACTTTTGGCAAGTTGCCAGTCGAAGGATAAGTGCCGAGTTTTATTTCAACGTCATAGATTTAATTTAAACGTCAAAGCAACGCTTTGCCCTGTAGGGGATTGTGGGTCTTTAAAGGTAAGTGTTGCTGTTAAGAACCTTGGGGGCCAGTGTTGAAAATGTTGTCAACCACTTTTGGTTTCAAGTCCCCACACTGGTCATTAGTACCCTCTGAAATTTGAAGTTCTGATAAATTTGCCAAGATTAGGCTAAAATAATGCACGTAAGGGGTTTGGTTGGTTGGGGGCGATAGAAAAATACCCAAATATATTTTAGATTTTTGCGTAGATGTTGATGAGCTCTTCAAAAAGCAAGCAACAACTTTTGGTGTCCACGGATTTTAGATTACTATTGACGTAATTTTAAGTTGCATTTGGCATGCATTAGAGCAAGTGGTTTTTAACCTTTACTCCAGCCTTGCATCACTTTGGTTCTAAATCGTTAAAAAAGTATAATGTTAACAAATACATAGGTTTGATGAAACAGAGTACTTTCGTGCAAGTGCTTAATTTGTGTTTCGATGATTTACCTCCTAAAACAATCTGGCCATATCTCGCACCCCCCAGAAAGGGCACTTCGTACCCCCAGGGAGTGCGTGCACCCCAGGTGAAGAACCACTGCATTAGAGCATTGCTTATGGCCCCTTTGGTGATGTTAAAGTACCACACATTCCTATCCGAAATAGCGTTTATCTGCAATTAAATCCAATGTTTAATTGCGCGTGGTGACAGTGTTGAAAGGCGAAGTTGTCCAGCATACACTGTGTTCAGTTTATGCAATATGCTTCGTGTGTTATTCAGACAGTGTGCAAGGGAAACTGAAGTACATGCATCCCCCTGTTACATACAACCATAGGTGCACATATACATTGATCACTCGAAGTTCAACATTTCATACAATTCTTTGAATGTGCAAGCATTCTTCAAATATTTACCAAGGATTGGAAAAGACATGCGGCATATACATTTTGAGTTAAATCTGTTTTAAGAATCTTTTTTTTTTAACCATCGCAATGCGTTTCTGTTCATGTACTGGCCAGTCTTGTTTTTTTTATTTTGTTGCACAAAGTAGAGAAATTGTTTCCCTTCCAGTGGTCAAGAATGGTGACCGAGAAGCAGCCAAGCGTTAGAACGAATCCATGAGGAGGGCCAACTACGGAGCTGGGGGCGATCGTTACATCCGGCAGTGGCCTTCATCCAGCATTGTCTTGGCCGTCAAATTTAAACTTCGCTGCTGAGCACACGCATCGTAAGCACGTACCGCCAAGCTGTGTCTCGGAGTCTGTACGCTTTTTGGAGGCGGTGCATTAATAACACAACACACGACGTTTCAAAGCGTGCTTGTTTGAAGTGTAGCTCGTAAAGCAAGGTTAAATAATGTACTCCGTTCACAAGCTGTAAGGCCAGCCAGTCGCTGTGGGACGTTAAATAAACATTCCGGACACAAAGACTTAACACCCCGGCGATCCAAAGCCAAAGCAAACACTTCCGTTGCAGGCTTGTTGAATAAACAATTAATCTGCACATATTTTACTGCACACAAACACGAGACTCGCTATCGAATGAGACGGAAGATCGCTCTGCCCCAAACTGATCGCTACTTTTGATCTTTCATTTTGTCATTTTCATTCAACGGGTGTGCGTTTCAAACCATGCGTGTACAAATAAAGCACGCGTGCGTGCGTGCTGTTGTCGCGAATGGCACTGGAGGTCACGCATTGTCAACGTGCACGTATGTATGTTGAACTTCTTTCGCACCACACGTAGCCAACCAACCGTGCTCATCGGTGGGTGCGTTTATTCGATGGCTATACGCTTGATCAATCTTGACGTGTTTTTATATGCCAGACAACTCTACCTCAATGAGAAATTGAATAATACACCAGACTGTTCTTGCTTGTGTCCCTCAAACATTTTTTTTGGGGGGGGATATACATTGCAGATGACAAATGTAGAACTTTACGGAGATTTGTGATCTCCAGGGTGGCCTAGATGTCTTGTGTGACTCCCATATAATTCTCTAAAAAAAATAATATGCAACGGGAAACAATTGGTAGGGGGACACTTAATTGGGAAGCCACGAGACATCTGGACCAGCCTGCACATGCCGTGTGTGTGCGCCTGTATAAACAGATCATGCCGCAATAAAATAAACTTGCGCTACAGCAAGCCCACGTCGCTCAAAAGTGATGCGAGCCAGTGGGCAAGGCTGGTGGCGGAATGGCAGGTAAAGGATGGAATGCACCCAAAAGTATGACCACCATGGTGATGGAGCAATGCAATCAGTTTGCATACAAAACTGAGATGTGACAGTGTGAGACCATGACCATATACGGAGGAAGAGGAGAGAGCAGGGCTCATGAAGATGATAATTACACTGTTTTCGGCTGTGTCCAAAGTCATAAGGAATTAAACACAAATATGAACATCGTTCTTCATGGATTAATGTAGACCGCTGAAGCAACGCTCAGGGCTGGGGATCCCCCCACCATCTACATCTCCCCATCAATTCCACATTCACATGCAGGCCAGGTTGTTGGGCCCATTAAGCTGACTTCGTGAATTACAGCAACACGATTCCTCTCTGTAGAACGAGGCAGCTAAAAGTCTTGAATGGGGAGGAAGGGTCTACAAGAACTGGTGTTGGGAGAAGTTACAGCTGCGGCACGATGGTTGTGTTCATTGTGCGTGGCTGTGGAAATGCACACAAACTAAAAAGTTAGCAGCACCAATTGACATTCGTCCACGGGCAATTTGCATGACCCATCAGCACAACCATAACGTGCAACGACAGTGTTGCCCACATTTAAATCAAGCTGCATGTGCAAGAAAGGTTCTACAGGCTGCTGCTACTGCCGCTGAGACATTCCTGTTCGGTCGGATTTAATGTGTGCTTACCACACATATGCAAGCGCGTGGCAATGTAATTAAGGGCCCATGCTGTATTGTATGTCACAGAGAAGTGGGGATGCCATCTCCGCGCTCGTATGCTGGTCATTCCTATCATACAGAGAGCAGCGATGTGCTCACCGAATGAATTGGTCGACGCTCTCAGCATATCGTGGAATCGTTTTGTCTTCCCCAATTGTATTCCGATTTGGCTATATGGGCTTACGTCATCATAATACGTACGCATGTATGTGTGTTGAACTTTCTTTCCCGCCGTACGTAGCCGACCGTACTCATCGGAGTACACACGCGGATGTCTCACGGAGCAGCGAAACCCATTTGCGTAGGAGAAACGGCCTGCAGAGCTATCTCTGACATCCCTTCAAGTGACCTATGATCCACACATTGTAGGGGGGGGGCAACACTTTCCCACCCACCCTGCCGTGGTGAGAAATCTTTGTCGCGTCACAGTAAAAACAGATTTTTTTAAAATCTCAAAGCTGTCATTTCACCAAATTATGTGTAGATCAAAATTGAATGCGATTGTTTATTTGTGCGCCAATATGGGTGACCGGGCTGAAACTATCGACTCACTACCACCATCTCTAACAATCTGTCTTCTCCCTAACTACGGTGTATCGTTAAGTATTGATGATTTAAGTATTTAATTATACACCGTAGTTATATCATTGTCAAACGAAGGTCAATCATTATCAGGTAATGCCATGACAAAGCTGCAAATTGTATATTTTGCTCGACTTTTTTTTCAAAGCTGACCTGAAACCACCTCAACGCGACAGGTGGTAGCTATCCGACATTTACAAAGCAGCAGGTGCTGACATTTCACCCAAAGCTGCCGATTGGCGTTAATTCCATGCCGATATTCACAAACACCAAGAATGCTCTACTGCTGCATCAGTTCTAAATTTACCAAAACCCGGGCGCGACCTCTGGACATTCACTTCTGTGGCACCTGGACTGTGGCATTCTCCGCCAAAAGGCTATCGAGGAGTCCAGTTAGCTTAAAGATCTTCAAGTCCCGTCTAAAAAACAAATTTGTCACTTTAGAAGGCACTTACTATTTTAACTTGCCCATTGATTACGTCCAGACCACCTCCCCCCATTAATAATTCCTTAAAACGCGCCGTGATATTTTATTAAAGGAACTTCGTAAAATATAATAATGATTATATTATATTCTTGGTTCTTTCGAGTAAAGTCACGTAGAAGGGAAACAATAGAATAATAAAAATATAAAACAATACAATTGTAAACAATATATGTTTTTATATTTTTATTATTTTATTGTTTCCCTTCTACGTGACTTTACCGAAAGAACCAAGAGTATGAATCCCTGCAGTCACGAAAGCTTTAAATCAAAATGATTATATTATTGTTATTTCAGATCGCAGCTCGCCATATTCACGTTAGCATCCCCACACCTCCACCCCTCCAAGATTAGACAAAAAAAACCCTCAAATGACACCGTAGCCTTGAATTACGATGAACACAACAGGCGACGTTTCGACCAAAAGGGGCCTTCTTCATAGCACACGAATCGTACGTGACGCGGGGCGATCCTTGCCCTACCTGCTGCTTGCGCGGCCAATTCCTCCCCAGCCGGTCAGAGCAAAACTCCACCCCGAAAGCGACCGCGAGATGAGTGACCGTCCCGCGCGCCGCACGCATCGATCTCTCCTGTCTCTTCTCTCTGTCTCTTCTCTCTCTTCTCTCTGTCTATTCTCTCTGTCTCTTATCAGCCTCTCTTCTCTCTGTCTCTTCTCTCTTTCGCTTCTCTTTCTTCTCTCTGTCTATTCTCTCTGTCTCTTCTCAGCCTCTCTTCTCTCTGTCTCTTCTCTCTTTCGCTTCTCTTTCTTCTCTCTGTCTATTCTCTCTGTCTCTTCTCAGCCTCTCTTCTCTGCCTCTTCTCTCTGTCGCTTCTCTCTGTCTCTTCTCTCTGTCTCTTCTCTCTGTCTCTTCTCTCTGTCTATTCTCTCTGTCTCTTCTCTCTGTCTATTCTCTCTGTCTCTTCTCTCTGTCTCTTCTCTCTGTCTCTTCTCTCTGTCTCTTCTCTCTGTCTCTTCTCTCTGTCTATTCTCTCTGTCTCTTCTCTCTGTCTATTCTCTCTGTCTCTTCTCTCTGTCTCTTCTCTCTGTCTCTTCTCGCGCGTGCATGCGAGAGAGTGTGGCGCGCCTCCGCAACTCGATTCCCTTCGAGCCTACACCACGAGCGTCAGTGCCCGTGACGTCTCTACAAAGGCAGCACCGGACCGCTCAGCGCGGCCTCCACACCAAAGAGGTAACTTCACGCGAAGACGCCGCGGCTGGCGAGAAGGGCGGTGGTCACCCAACCACCCGGCCGCCGCTGCCTCCCTCAACCCGCACGAGCCACATTCCAGTGCCGCACCGCCCCTGCCACCAAGCCCGGCGGCTTCCCCCCCCCCCCCTCTCGCAGTCTTTAAAGAGCTCCGTGCCAGCCGGGCACCGTCTCACGAGACCTGCCACTGCCGCCGCCGCTGCTGCTGCTGCTGAACACGGTCGTGGTAACAGCGGAGCGACCTCTGGGCTGGTGTCCGGGAGTTCCGGCGAGCCCAGGACATCGATTGGAAGTGTCGCGTAGATTTCTCCGGTTTATTGACGAGGTGACAGTGAAGCAAAAACAACCTGCGTCGCGTCGCGGGGTGGGTGGGGGGGACACCCAATAAAGCCGTGCGTGCCCGTAAAGGTGGTGGGTGGGTTGTTATCGCTGTTTGGACTGTGGCACCTCGGTGGTAAAGGTGAGTTACGCCTGGCAGCGGAACGTCGCGTGCGTGGCGCATCCTCAACTTCCTTGTTCTAAAAAGGCGTCGATGTGACGACAGGCGCGCCAGGGACTTAGTTGTGCTTAACAAGGCGCGGTGCAGCATGGGGTCATTGTGTGCCCTGGCAACGGGGCCACCGGCCCAAATATACAGGAGGTTCGTGGGTTTCGATCCAGACCCTGACGCCTGTATCATTGGAGTTTGCGTTTCTCTCACTTCCCCGTGGGCACGTGGATTTTTTTTCTGGGGCCTCCGGTCTTTCCCCTCCACATTGAGAATCAACGTCACGCGTTCACAGTATTTGGCTCCTATAAATTTGCACGTGATAAGCCACTTCGTTGACATGATGTGTGGCCAGGTCGCTTCTGAAAAAGAGCTATATAGCACGGTGGGCCTCACCTGGTAATTAAAAATAGAAAAGAAATGCAGGGTGATCCAGTAATAGATACACCACTTAAATATTAGGGAGAGATTATAAAGAACACAACATTTATACCCAAAGCCCCTACATGTCTCCCAGCAATCTCAATACTGAACTTCGTTCCAGAGAGTATTTAACTTCCCACATCTCATATAATTCAGCTGCTCAAACAAAACAAATAATACGACTACGCAGTAGCTGAAGCAGCCGCAATGAATAATAAAAAAAGCTATTTAAAGCCATTTGTCACTCAATGAAGGCCTTCCCACGCCGTGTCGGTATGAGGGCTGTTTGACCATACTTCACCACGCTGTGCGGTGCCCGGACGGTGGTGGTGGGGGGGGGGGCATCCAGGACCGGTTCCAGCCATCACTTTCCACTGACGTTAACCGTGGCAAAGGAATGCAATTTAGTTCGTCGGGTTCACTCCAACCACTCCCATACCGCTCCACCACCGCAGCGTTGTATTCTCGCTATACATCATTTAAATGCCGGTAACTAGGCTGTGCTCGGACAGCTGTCGATGTCATTTTGTAAAAAAAAAAACACGTGACTGTGCTGCGTACACCGATGCTATGAAAAAACGTGAAGGTGGCAGGGCTGGTTGAGAGGCAGGGCTGGTCTAAGATCTAAATGCAGACCAGACCTCGCCTCTCTCTCTCTGTGAGTAATAGGTTAGGTAATGATGGAGCGAGGGTCGCACATGCGTACAGGCCCTGTTGTTGATCCACTGCTGAGCGCGGGCGTGCCCATGCCGTGCGTGTCCTACTTGGTCATACTTCACCACGCGGGTCAGCGCGTATTGGTCAACGTGGGGAGCATAGACGCGTAAGTAAATAAGTGATGAGCAACAATGGAGTTTGCTGCTGCTGCTGCACTGTTCAAAGATGACCACCACTTGGCACAGCCGCCAGAGACAGCCTGGCGCGCAGCCTCAATCCGCCTTCGTTTTCGAGATATTGAGGGTGTGGGTGCATTCCACGTTAGTTTGTTTTATCATAGGCAAGAGGTAGTATGAACATTTTTGTTGACGTTTAATAATGGATTCAATTTGATTACATCAGCTTGGAATTTGCGGGGTGTTTGGTTGCCACAATGGATTATCATATCTCGCTCTGGGGTTATCTCCAGATACTCCAGTTTCCTCCCACATGCCAAACACCAATCGATGGAATTGGAGAAACATCCCATTTGCAGGGCCCTACCTGAACAAGCTTCTTCAATCTCAATGAGGCGCTCCTCAGTAGATACATTTCATTATCCCAGGAGCACTGAGTTAGTTTTTTTTGTCCGTGGAGTTTCTGTGCCCCCAACCTTAATTATGGTGCATCCTCTGTACCGGGCTCATGTTGAATTGCTTTTTTTTAACGTCATAAAATTGCGGCAACACTGACATCAATATTCACAGATATTTCCAACTGGTCTAGAACTCCCTTAACCGACCAAATCACCCAGAATGCACCCAATCTCCCCGGATCCCAATGTATCCGATGTCGTCAGAATCGAGCCTGGATAGTGCTTGGATGGGTGACCACCACCAAGTAAATAATCACCGAGTGTAGACGGCACGGCGGGCATTAGAGGACGGTGCAGCAAAATCCATTGTGCTGCACTCCGGCAGCCTTTGCCAACCCCCAATGATTCAAGAGGCCCTCATCCAGCAGTGGATCAGCTGCAGTGTACTTTGCACGCACGTGTGAAGAAATCACAGTCTCAACAGCTGGAAGTTAACCAGTTTAAAAAGAGAAACGCGTAACTTTGTTGCGATGGCCACAATGGTGGATGCAGAGTGTGACGGTGATGATAGCAATGTCTCAAGACGATGTGCAGACAACAGAGCGTTGTACATGTGAGCACGAGTAAATGCCCCGTTGCGCGGTTTGCAAGAAAGCGGAGGCCTCCGTTCTGTCGCTGTTTGGTCAAATTCGCCCACCGCAGGGCTCAGAAAATCGCTGCTCCACCGCACAGCGCACACTCTGACAATGTCGCGGGGGGAAAAAAAATCATTTCCGCGCGGCCACCACCACCACATGTAGAGTTCACAAAACACGGAGCTGATTAAAATAAGCATGGAACGCTGCCGTTTAACGCGGTCAGACTCAAGAGTTATTTCTTGTGCATGTATGTATGTACGTTGAACTTATTTCGCACCGTGCATAACAAAAACGTGCTAATCGGAGGGGTGGGGCGGGGGAGGACAACGCGCCGAACGCTTACCTTCATTACCTCCTTCACCCTCCATGACAAAATTGATACCACTTCACGCGCCTTCTCTAAACTTTGGAATTTTCCAGCGGTGACTTTGGAGGCGTTCTGCGTGCGTCTTTTTTCATCTGAAATAGGAACGCCAAAAAGAGAGATTGACAAAGAGAGAGAGAGAAGAATGTTTTCTCCCCCAAACAACCGAGGCGTTGATCGGAGCCTGGCTCCGTACGACCGCCGTCTCGATCTCCTGCGATCGTGTGTCCCTGGCGAACGAAATTGGCCGTCACGATGCTGCCATCACATGGCCCATGCGTGTCCGGCTAGAGTCAGCTGATGGAGGCTGTTGTGACGTTTTCTGCATGAATGGGGCTATTGAGTCCCAGCTATTTCACGCCTCGTCCAATGCCCCGATCCTCAGAAAATCGGTTTCACGTTAACAAGTTTTATGCGGGGCACTTAGCGACTTCTTAAGGTCACCCTCCGTGCTCTTCCACTTGGGCTGAGCGGTAACCTCGTGATCTACAGAATATCAAGTGTAAAAGATTGGAGAAAGAAGAAAAAAATTCGACAACGCATTGAAAGCAGCCCCTCAACTATCAAAGCTTTCCAGGAGAGCGAGTGTTTGCTACAGATCAGTCAGTAACAATTACACCCCCCCCACACAGCTGGCGATTTGATTAATTGTCAATACTGTATTAAGGATATAGTACTGACTGATTAGCACGGTTGGCTACGTACGGTGCGACAGAAGTTCAACATACAAGAATGGTGATTTAATTAAAATCGTATATATTATTAGCACTGCGGTGAACCGTAGTGGTCTCTAGCACATACAGGCACCATGTGTATCCCTTACACACAACACGTGTACGATACAAGCCATTGTAAATCCACTGCTGGATGACGGCCTTCACATACCATGCAATGTGTGGGGTTTCTTTGAACGTACATGACATACGCGCCGCAAACATACATTGTGAGACACACGATTCGCTCAATACACAAATGAGCCACAATACCTTGCTGATCCCGTCAAGGAGCATACACCATCATGTGAACTCTCACCGGTCATCGTCGCAGCAAAAAGCGGCTTTTGGCTTAGCCATCGAACGGTCGCTGCATCACGTGCTTTCAGATGCACTTCTGCGGCCGTCTGGAATTCTCTTCCTTCTGACATTAGGAAGCTACTGGAGCTCTGCACTTTTAAATCCAAATTGAAAATGTATTTCTATCGAACTGCTTTTTTGTGTTTAGTGTGTTGTCATTCCGCCGCACCTCTGATCATCATAGTTGGCTACGTACGATGTGAAAGACATTCAGCATACATACATACATATGAACTTTAAGCATCGATAAACATTGATGCATGGATGCATCGTTACACCCCCACCTTACAACTCAGCAAACTCAACATGCCAAGGTCCAAGACAATTTTGTTTAACTAGATGAGAGAGAATTCGAGAGACCAAGATAGACCCATTTGTAATGTGACCTGGGTCACCATAATGACAAAAGTAAATACGTAAATCCAGGTATAACAACGAGGAGAATAAAACAAAAATCAAACACAACCAGATAGAAATTCGAGCAAAAAGCTACCACATTACAGAAGAATTAAAAAATAAGTGGACACACTTTAATCAACATAAAATTACATACATATATCCTGTAGTAAATGTCGGCTCGGACAATGTTTTTTAAGACCATTCATCGTGAAATTAAGTTACAGAAACATCACGAGTGTGTATCGGAGTTGGCCGCGGAATTCCCCAATGCCAGCCCACTGCCAGAGTGATGGCTACAATGAAAGTGTTCACACACAGCACCCCGTGAAGAGGAATGACGTCTGTCCGTGAACAATTCCGTATATATTTTATCAAACGGCGTATTGTTCATCAGCGTCCCGACAAAACTCCGCCCCACGGTTCCTCCATGTACTCATTGGAACCAAGCTCGTTCGGTGTTGACGCTTGGTTCCTTTAGATGTTCATGGAACTGAAACAGTTATCCTTACAATTAAGCATGTTGACACTCACGTTTAAACATAAAAAATATAAATATATTTCAGCGAAGTGAAAACGTTGGATGAAGGAAGTGTGCCTGTTGGGTCTAATGAAAGTTGGAGATGGTTGAACAACACTCAATTATGTCAAAATTACGACCGTCATTGACAGTCACTTGGACAAAGAGCTTACATAATAACAACGTCATTATTTCATCATACGTTCATACTACATCTTGCACAACAAGAGTCCCCTGAGATGAAAGCCAATATTGCCCAAAGAACAAGACCATTGGCAAAATGACTCGAAATACATCACGGCCGCCCCTTCTCTGCCCCTGTGGATTTGAGTTAAGGTGTACGAGGTAACACGTGGATGAATCAGCTGCACAACGCTGGGTAGAAACGAGCCGTCCAAAGGGCTCTAAAAGCACGGAGGATTATCGAACACGAGGTTTGTTCAGCACTCACTGTATGCCGGTGTGTGCTTAATCGTCTTCACATTCCCAACCTCACGTGGGAGGAGGAGGAGAAGACCAACAAACGCAATGTTTGACCCGTGTGCTTATTGCATGGCAAAACCCATTCGTCAACCTGCGTTCACGGCACGCGGAAATTTGATCGTGTCCCTCCGCATCTCCACTCTCCGATGCCACGATCTCGAAAGGCGACAGCTGTTGAGGCCATCAGCCCCGAGCTCGGCAGGCCGGCACGGCTGTGCACAACGATGCGTGTGTGCGCACGAGCGCGCGCTGTGGTGGGCGGCAGGCAAGAGAGGGTGCTTTGAGTGTTGTTTTTTTTGTTGTTGTGCACGCAGTGGGCTGCGTGGGTGTGCGCTGGCGTGCGAGCGAGTTTCCACGTTGTACAAGTGTGCGCGCACGCCGGCGGTGAGCGGCGCTCGTGAGTGTTTTGAACTGTGCTCTACGTGGGGGGGGGGGGGGGGCAGAGGGGGTTGTGGTGTAGTTAAATCACTCGAGGCCAAGCCACGTGGCCGCTGGTGTTGTTTGTGGCTCGCGGGAAAGACCCATCAACCATCGGTTCTCAGCGTGTGGATTCAAACGGCGATTTGTGTGTGTGTGTGTGTGGGGGGGGGGGGGGGGTGTAACCGATTGTGTGCGCACGGCCATTTGGAAATGTGTGGCCCACGGGGATTTCGTTATCACGCCAAATTGCAAGAGCTTGAAATGTCACGGTGGCCTTTTTCTGATCCAGGCTGGGCGGTCCTCGAGAGATGGAACATATTGTCCCATAAACACTTCCACAGTTTGCTGGTAAAGTGGTGGACATGCACAAGCTTGGATTGACTCCAATACTATTTTCTTCAAAAGTCAAAATGTGAAAGTGTCTCCCTATTCAAACAAGCATGAAGGCAAATGCTACTGCTGCTACTACTGCTACTACTGGCGATAATCATTTATCTCATACTGAGCTTTACATTTAAAAAACAAAGTCTCGAAGCATATTTTTGAATGATGGAAAATCTCATTGGAACGATGTAAGCAGAAAAAAGTAAATCAATTAAACATCACGCAAGCCTCCGACAAAGAAATCAATATCCATTGCAGAAAAGTCAGCGCGAAAAATGAATCTGAGGATTTGCCTTGAACTGCGCAATAGTCGTGCGCTTTTTCATGTGCACAGGCGGTTAGTTCCAAAGTCTCAGCGCAGTGAAAGACCCAACGCAGAATATCCCTGGGTTTGCGCTTCCGCGAAGATCATGGTCCACCCTAAATCCCATCCGCAAAAAAAAACACGTGGCAGACGCGGACACTTGACGGACAAATGTAAAATCAAAAACTCTCCAGTGTGCAATTCTAGATTTGAAGCTTCCGTGACTGCAAGGATCCATACTCTTTGGTTCTATTCGATAAAGTCACGTAGGTAAAAATAAAATAACAAAAATCACGACGTTTCGGCCACAACACAAGTGGCCTTCATCAGGTGAAGGGACCGAACTGTCCAGAGGACAGTCCGACCTGGGCTTGGCTGTCTTCACTCTAACGCTGTCCTCTGGACAGTCCGGTCCCTTCACCTGATGAAGGCCACTTGTGTTGTGGCCGAAACGTCGTGATTTTTGTCATTTTATTTTTACCTACGTGACTTCTCCAGTGTGCGACTGTAGTCATCCAGAACAGACCATAACAACGTATAACAACGCAATGCCCGATCCACAAATACGAAGGAGGCGTCACAGTGATAAACTCCGCTGCTCCTGACGCGGCTGTCTGGCTTGACCACCTGAACGTGAAATTTAAGTTGTTACTCTGCGTCTCCATCAGCAGCCGTATGAAAGGAGAAGTGCATTTATGCCAAAGGCGCAATCACCGCTTGCAAAACCGTAAACGTCACAGCATCATTGCAGGCGAACAGTTCTTGACTGCAATACTGTAGTACATTTTTTTCAAGTGTATCAATTAACAACATTTTAAATAATAGTTTTTCATAACGTTGTCAACCCACTACCGTACGAAGGCCTCTCTATGCCGCGTTCATTGGTCACGGGAGTTGTTTGACCATACTTCACCCAAGGCGGTCATTGTCAGGGTCGGTAATAGTGTGGGACCTAGAACTGGTTGAGATATGAATCGTCATCAGTGTTATCCTTGGCCAGAAATAAAACTCGCAATTTACTCACCACGACGCCACCATTATCCCACTTTTTTTCACCCCGTTGTTTTTCAAATAACAATGGAATTAAAAACAGGGGGCGGGTAGGTTTTAAACAAATACGATGGAACATAACGATGAAACACGGCACTACCTGGGGAATAATTATGAACACGGGAGCCAAGGAGACGAACTGTTGGGGTAATTTTCATCTCGAGAGACTGCCCTGCGCAAGCTCACGCCTCGTCGTCTGGTAACAGCGATGGTGGAGAGTGATTGCACACCGCGAGGTCAATCATGGAACGGCATTAAATCGCCTCGGATCTCATCTCTTCATCAATCAGCTCAGGTTGGCTCAAGTCCAGATTCGAGACGTTTCTCTCTGCCTATGATCGATTGCCTCTCTGTATACAATAAACATGCCCACTGTTTCTGCACAGTGTCTTCAGTTGCAGATCTCAAGAAAGTCCGAATTGCAGTCTATAGAAGGTAGTGTCCTCATTCTGTAGAGACAATGTAAATTGTGTGCCGCTTTTGTTGATACAGTGAGGGAAAAAAGTATTTGATACCCTGCTGATTTTGTACGTTTGCCCACAGACAAAGAAATGATCAGTCTATAATTTTAATGGTAGGTTTATTCGAACAGTGAGAGACAGAATAACAACAACAAAATCCAGAAAAACGCATGTCAAAAATGTTATAAATTGATTTGCATTTTAATGAGGGAAATAGGTATTTGACCCGTCTGCAAAACATGACTTAGTACTTGGTGGCAAAACC